TGTTGTGACCTTGGTTTTGGCTTTCAGTTTGCTGAAAGGCTGAGCTTCTCATATGCTTCTGCAAAGGCGTTTAGAGTAGCTTGTAGGTCTTCTTCTGAATATGCACATACGACGTTATTATCAGTATATTGGAGTTCTACAACAGACATTGTTGTGACCTTGGTTTTGGCTTTCAGTCTGCTGAAAGGCTGAGCTTCTTGTATGCATCTGCAAAGGCGTTAAGAGTAGCTTGTAGGTCTTCTGAATGCGCACATATGATGTTATCATCAGCATATTGGAGTTCTGTAACAGATGTTGTTGTGACAGTCTGCTGAAAGGATGAGCTTCTCATATACTTCAAAGGCATTTAGAGTAGCTTATAAGTCTTCTTCTGAGTGCGCACATACGCTATCATCAGCATATTGGAGTTCTATAACAAATGTTGTTGTGACCTTGGTTTTGGCTTTTAGTTTGCTGAACAGCCGAGCTTCTTGTATGTGTTTGCAAAGGCGTTTGTAGTGGCTTGTAGGTCTTTGTCTGAATGTGCACATACGACGTTATTATCAGCGTATTGGAGTTCTATAACGGATGTTGTTGTGACCTTGATTTTTGGCTTTCAGTTTGCTGAAAGGCTGAGCTTCTCATATACTTCAAAGGCATTTAGAATAGCTTATAGGTGCTGAATAGTCGAGCTTCTTGTATGCGTTTTCAAAGGCGTTTAGAGTGGCTTGTCGGTCTTTGTCTGAATGCGCACGTACAACGTTATCATCAGCATATTAGATTTCTATAAAAGATGTTGTTCCAGCAGAAAATATTGGATTTTATTCAGGTGTGTGGAAGGGGCTTAAGATATCTTTCAGCAGGTTGGATGGGCTTTATTTGTATCATCATCAATAATTTTATTTAGTGATGTTTACTGTTGGTGAAATACCGATGTTCAGTCTTCGATGTTGTTGTGACCTCTCTGCGTGTCCCTCTCAAAGCTGACGGGAAGCCATTGTTCGACAACCCAATCTTGAAAGGCTGGCCCGGGGCGTTCTTCACTCAGACGTCAGGAACGTCTTCCTCTTCCTCGGTCTGAGCCAAAAGGAGCACAATAGCTGGCGTCCAAGTGCAGCTTTTAGATGTTTAGTTTGACTCTGGTTCAGCGAGAGAGAGAGAGGCCTTGAAGAATGTTCTTGCCCTTAGGTACTTATGCATTACGATAGCGCATGGGGAACGAGCATGGCCGGAATCACTGGGTTGTTGGAGGTTTTTTCGGGCTATCTGGCCATGTTCTAGAGGCATTCTCTCCTGACATTTCGCCTGCATCTAGCAAGCATCCTAATGAGACCAAACTACAAATCCCAGTAACTACAACTCCCAAATGACATGGCCTATTTCCCCCAAACTCCATCTGTGTTCATATTGGGGCATATGGAATAGTCATGCCAAGTTTGGTCCAGATCCATCATGGTTTGAGTCCACAGTGCTCTCTGGATGGAGGTGAACTACAACTCCCAAACTCAAGGTCAATGCCCACCAAACCCTTCTAGTGTTTTCTGTTGGTCATGGGAGTCCTGTGTGCCACATTTGGTTCAATTCCTTCATTGGTGGGGTTCAGAATGCTTTTTGATTGTAGGTGAACTATAAATCCCAGCAACTACAACTCCCAAATTTTGAGGCATATTTCCCCAAAACTCCACCAGTGTTCACATTTGGGTATATGGAATATTTGTGCCAAGTGTGGTCCAGATCCATCATGGTTTGAGTCCACAGTGCTCTCTGGGTGGAGGTGGACTACAATTCCCAAACTCAAGGTCAATGCCACTAAACCGTTCCAGTATTTTTTGTTGGTCATGAGAGTTCTGTGTGCCAAGTTTGGTTCAATTCTAACATTGGTGAGGTTCAGAATGCTCTTTGATTTTAGGTGAACTATAAATCTCAGCAACTACAACTCCCAAATTTTGAGGCCTATTTCCCCCCAAACTCCATCTGTGTTCATATTTGAACATATGGAATATTTGTGCCAAGTTTGGTCCAGATCCATCATGGTTTGAGTCCACAGTGCTCTCTGGATGGAGGTGAACTACAACTCCCAAACTCAAGGTCAATGCCCACCAAACCCTTCTAGTGCTTTCTGTCGGTCATGGGAGTTCTGTGTGCCAAGTTTGGTTCAATTCCAACATTGGTGGAGTTCAGAATGCTCTTTGATTGTAGGTGAACTATAAATCCCAGCAACTACAACTCCCAAATGACAAAATCAATTTTTTTGAGTGAAGGACTTACATTGGGTTGTTAGGTGTCTTGTGTCCAAATTTGGTGTCAATTCGCCCAGTGGTTTTTGAGTTGTGTTAATCCCACAAACGAACATTACATTTTTATTTATATAGATGGAAAACACAACATAAAGGTGAAACTGGTGCAAAATACAAGGAAGTAAACAAACTTGCTCTGGTCACAGAACCCAAGTTTCCTTGGAACAGAATTTGGAGTATTCATCCCTTGTGAAAGCAGGATCTTAGCGCTGAATTTTACTTTCCTCCCTTTCTAAATTCCTCTTTTCCTGCAGTTGTTTATGAACACAGATCCCGCCTAGAACGATCCTTGCAGAAGGAGCGAGGAGAGCACAAGAAGACCAAAGAAGGTGAGTTGACCCTGTGTTTCTTAACCTGGGGATCAGGACCCCTGGGGGGGGGGGTTGCGAGGGGGTGTCAGGGGGTGTCGCCAAAAACCATCAGAAAACACAATAAAATCTGTTGATCTTGGGGGTTCTGTGTGGGAAGTCTGGTTCAATTCCTTCATTGGTGGGGTTCAGAATGCTCTTTGATTGTAGGTGAACTATACATCCCAGCAACTACAACTCTCAAATGTCAAGGTCTATTTTCCCCAACTCCACCAGTGTTCACATTTGGGCATATTGAGAATTGTGCCAAGTTTGGTCCAGATCCATCATTGTTTGAGTCCACAGTGCTCTCTGGATTTAGGTGAACTACAACTCCCAAACTCAAGGTCAATGCCCACCAAACCTTCCAATATTTTCTGTTGGTCATGGGAGTTCTGTGTCCCAAGTTTGAGTCAATTCATTGGTATGGGTCAGAATGCTCTTTGATTGTAGGTGAACTATAAATCCCAGCAACTACAACTCCCAAATGTCAAGGTCTATTTTCCCCAAACTCCACCAGTGTTCACATCTGGGCATATTGAGCATTCGTGCCGAATTTGGTCCAGATCCATCATTGTTTGAGTCCACAGTGCTCTCTGGATTTAGGTGAACTACAACTCCCAAACTCAAGGTCAATGCCCACTAAGCCCTTCCAGTATTTTCTGTTGGTCATGGGAGTTCTGTGTGCCAAGTTTGGTTCAATTCCATCGTTGGTTGAGTTCAGCATGCTCTTTGATTGTAGGTGAACTATAAATCCCAGCAACTACAACTCCCAAATGTCAAGGTCTATTTTCCCCAAACTCCACCAGTGTTCACATTTGGGCATATTGACTATCTGTGCCAAGTTTGGTCCAGATCCATCATTGTTTGAGTCCATAGTGCTCTCTGGATGTAGGTGAACTACAACTCCCAAACTCAAGGTCAATGCCCACCAAACCCTTCCAGTATTTTCTGTTGGTCATGGGAGTTCTGTGTGCCAAGTTTGGTTCAATTCCATCTTGGTGGAGTTCAGAATGCTCTTTGATTGTAGGTGAACTATAAATCCCAGCAACTACAACTCCCAAATGTCAAGGTTTATTTTCCCCAAACTCCACCAGTGTTCACATTTGGGCATATTGAGGATTCGTGCCAAGTTTGGTCCAGATCCATCATTGTTTGAGTCCACAGTGCTCTCTGGATGTAGGTGAACTACAACTCCCAAACTCAAGGTCAATGCCCACCAAACCCTCCAGTATTTTCTGTTGGTCATGGGAGTTCTGTTTGCCAAGTTTGGTTCAATTCCATCGTTGGTGAAATTCAGATTGCTCTTTGATTGTAGGTGAACTATAAATCCCAGCAAGTACAACACCCAATTGTCCAGGTCTATTTCCCCCAAACTCCACCAGTGTTCACATTTGGGGATATTGAGTATTCGTGCCAAGTTTGGTCCAGATCCATCATTGTTTGAGTCCACAGTGCTCTCTGGATGGAGGTGAACTACAACTCCCAAACTCCCTTCTCTTTCTTCTCCTTTTAGACTTCCTAGTGTACAAGTTGGAAGCTCAGGAAGCTCTGAATAAAGAAAAGGTGGGTAGAACTAGTTTCGTGTGGAAGTATGCATCTGGTTAACTTCTGTCAATATCCTGGGACTTCTAGTTTGACGAGGCTTGGCACTCTTTAGCAGTGTAGGCTAAATGCATTGTAAAACTACAATTTCCAGGATTCCATAGCATTAAGAAACGGAAGTTTAAATGGGATCGAAGTGCTTAAACTACAACTCCCATCATGCCAGGTTAACCCTGGGAAATATATTAAATACTAGCTTGGGTACCCGGCATTACCCGGGTTATTTCAAAAAGCCATTCTTTTAATTGTCCAAAATACATAAATTTGTGGGTAAACTACAACTCACCTCATGCCAGGTTAACCCTGAGAAACTCCATCAGTACTTAAAGTTTGTTATGTTGGGCAAGTTTGCTCCAGATGTATCATCAGTGGGGTTTAGTGTGATCTCTGGCTGTAGGGTAAACTACAACTCCCACTATGGTGGGTTAAGTCTCCTCAAACATAGATTGAGTTAGTTATGGGGGTTCTGTGTGCCAAGTTTGGTCCAGGTCCATCATTGTTTAAGTCCACAGTGCTCTCTGGATGTAGGTGAACTACAACTCCCAAACTCAAGATCTATGTACACCAAACCCTTCGAGTATTTTCTGTTGGTCATGGGAGTTCCATGTGTCAGGTTTGGTTCAATTCCATTGTTGGTGGAGTTCAGAATGCTCTTTGATTGTAGGTAAACTACAAATCCCAGCAACTACAACTCCCAAATGTCAAGGTGTATTTCCCCCCAAATCCACTGGTGTTTACATTTGGGCATATTGGGTAAATGTGCCAAGTCTGGTCCATATCCATAATTGTTTGAGTCCACGGTGCTCTCTGGATGTAGGTGAACTACAACTCCCAAACTCAAGGTCTATGTCCACCAAACCCTTCCAGTATTTTTGTGTTGGTCGTGGGGGTTCTGTGTGCCAAGTTGGGTCCAGTTCCATCTTTGGTGGAGTTCAGAGTGCTCAATGATTGCAGGTGAACTATACATCCCAATACCTACAACTCCAAAATGTCCAGGCCAATTCCCCTCAAAACTCACCAGTATTCAAATTTGGGCCTATTGGGTACGCATGCCAAGTTTAATTCAGATCCATCATTGTTTGGGTCCATAGTGCACTCTGGATGTAGATGAACTACAACTCCCCCAAATCAAGGTGAATTTTCCCCAAAGACCTCCAGTATTTTTGTGTTGGTCATGGGGGTTCTGTGTGCCAAGTTAGTTCCAGGTCCTTTATTGGTGGTGTTCAGAGTGCAGTTCTTAGACTGCAGGTGAACTATACATCCCAGTACTTACAACTCCTATAAATCATGGTTAATTCTCCCCAAACCTCTCCAGTACGTTGAGTTGCTGATCAAGTCCTCTCTTTGTTGTGTACCATAGAAAAGAACATGGAAGGGTTAAGAGGGTTGAGAGAGAGGCAGTGGGAGGGGTTATGCAAATTCCATACCAATAGAGAGAGAAAGGAACACTGGGATGTCTGTGGTGGAGGAAACACATAAAACCTAGGATGGAATTGTCCCCGCATGAAAGCCTTCCCTTGGGTGGTGGGCAGGATGGGGTTGGTGGAGGGAACACAGGGATGTCTGTGGTGGAGGAAACACATAAAACCTAGGATGGAATTGTCCCTGTATGCAAGCCTTCACTTGGGTGGTGGACAGGATAGTGTTGGTGGAGGGAACACAGGGATGTCTGTGGTGGAGGAAACACATAAAACCTAGGATGGAATTGTCCCTGTATGCAAGCCTTCACTTGGGTGGTGGACAGGATAGTGTTGGTGGAGGGAAACACTGGGATGTCTGTGGTGGAGGAAACACATAAAACCTAGGATGGAATTGTCCCTGTATGCAAGCCTTCACTTGGGTGGTGGACAGGATAGTGTTGGTGGAGGGAACACAGGGATGTCTGTGGTGGAGGAAACACATAAAACCTAGGATGGAATTGTCCCTGTATGCAAGCCTTCACTTGGGTGGTGGACAGGATAGTGTTGGTGGAGGGAACACAGGGATGTCTGTGGTGGAGGAAACACATAAAACCTAGGATGGAATTGTCCCTGTATGCAAGCCTTCACTTGGGTGGTGGACAGGATAGTGTTGGTGGAGGGAAACACTGGGATGTCTGTGGTGGAGGAAACACATAAAACCTAGGATGGAATTGTCCCCGCATGAAAGCCTTCCCTTGGGTGGTGGGCAGGATGGGGTTGGTGGAGGGAACACAGGGATGTCTGTGGTGGAGGAAACACATAAAACCTAGGATGGAATTGTCCCTGTATGCAAGCCTTCACTTGGGTGGTGGACAGGATAGTGTTGGTGGAGGGAACACAGGGATGTCTGTGGTGGAGGAAACACATAAAACCTAGGATGGAATTGTCCCTGTATGCAAGCCTTCACTTGGGTGGTGGACAGGATAGTGTTGGTGGAGGGAAACACTGGGATGTCTGTGGTGGAGGAAACACATAAAACCTAGGATGGAATTGTCCCCGCATGAAAGCCTTCCCTTGGGTGGTGGGCAGGATGGGGTTGGTGGAGGGAACACAGGGATGTCTGTGGTGGAGGAAACACATAAAACCTAGGATGGAATTGTCCCTGTATGCAAGCCTTCACTTGGGTGGTGGACAGGATAGTGTTGGTGGAGGGAACACAGGGATGTCTGTGGTGGAGGAAACACATAAAACCTAGGATGGAATTGTCCCTGTATGCAAGCCTTCACTTGGGTGGTGGACAGGATAGTGTTGGTGGAGGGAACACAGGGATGTCTGTGGTGGAGGAAACACATAAAACCTAGGATGGAATTGTCCCTGTATGCAAGCCTTCACTTGGGTGGTGGACAGGATAGTGTTGGTGGAGGGAACACAGGGATGTCTGTGGTGGAGGAAACACATAAAACCTAGGATGGAATTGTCCCTGTATGCAAGCCTTCACTTGGGTGGTGGACAGGATAGTGTTGGTGGAGGGAACACAGGGATGTCTGTGGTGGAGGAAACACATAAAACCTAGGATGGAATTGTCCCTGTATGCAAGCCTTCACTTGGGTGGTGGGCAGGATGGGGTTGGTGGAGGGAAACACTGGGATGTCTGTGGTGGAGGAAACACATAAAATCAAGGATGGAATTGCCCTGGTATGAAAGCCTTCACTTGGGTGGTGGGCAGGATGGTGTTGGTGGAGGGAACACTAGGATGTCTGTGGTGGAGGAAACACATAAAATCTGTTTGTGGAGGCAGAAGCTTGCCTGTGTAAGTGAAGACCCCAGCCACATACACACATACATATTTTCACTTTTATTATGTATATAGATCATAGATAGATAGATAGATGGGTTTAGATTATAAAATGGTGTATAATAAATACTTTTACATTTTTTCCCCGTTCTTAGCAAGATTCCATGAATAGATATGGCGCATTGAGCTCTCAGCATAAGATCCTGAAGGTAAACGAACCTTCTTTTTTGGAAATCTAACCCTAACCCTAACTCTGGCCCCCTCTCTCTTCACTCTGGCCCTGAAAGGCAGTTGGTGCTGGGGGGAGGGGTCCCCAGCTGATGACGTATGCAAGAGACAAGATGGAACTGTCCCCTGGCCCCCTCTCTCTCTTCACTCTGGCCCCGAGCAGCAGTTGGTGCTGTGAGGAGGGGTCCCCAACTGATGACATATGCAGGAGACAAGATGGAACTGTCCCCTGGCCCTCTCTCTATTCACTCTGGCCCAGAGCGGCAGTTGGTGCTGAGGGGAGGGGTCCCTAACTGCTGACATATGCAAGAGACGAGATGGAACTGTCCCCTGGCCCCCTCTCTCTTCACTCTGGTCCTGAAAGGCAGTTGGTGCTGTGAGAGGGGTCCCCAACTGATGACGTATGCAAGAGACAAGATGGAACTGTCCCCTGGCCCCCTCTCTTTTCACTTTGGCCCAGAGCGACAGTTGGTGCTGGGTGTGTGGTCCCCAACTGATGACATATGCAGGAGACAAGGTGGAACTGTCCCCTGGCCCCCTCTTCACTCTGGTCCAAAGAGGCAGTTGGTGCTGGGGAGAGGGGTCCCGAACTGATGATATATGCAGGAGACAAGATGGAACTGTCCCCTGGCCCCCTCTCTATTCACTCTGGCCCCGAGCAGCAGTTGGTGCTGTGAGGAGGGGTCCCCAACTGATGACATATGCAGGAGACAAGATGGAACTGCCCTGGCCCCTCTTTTCACTCTGGACCCAGAGCGGCAGTTGGTGCTGGGGGGAGGGGTCCCCAATGATGACATATGCAAGAGACAAGATGGAACTGTCCCTGCCCCCTCTCTTCACTCTGGCCCAGAGCAGCAGTTGGTGCTGGGGGAGGGGTCCCCAACTGATGACATATGCAGGAGACAAGATGGAACTGTCCCCTGGCCCCCTCTCTGTTCACTCTGGCCCAGAGCGGCAGTTGGTGCTGGGGGAGGGGTCCCCAACTGATGACATATGCAGGAGACAAGATGGAACTGTCCCCTGGCCCCCTCTCTCTTCACTCTGGCCCAGAACGGCAGTTGGTGCTGGGGGGAGGGGTCCCCAGCTGATGACATATGCAGGAGACAAGATGGAACTGTCCCCTGGCCCCCTCTCTCTTCACTCTGGTCCAGAGCGGCAGTTGGTGCTGGGGGTGTGTGGTCCCCAACTGATGACATATGCAGGAGACAAGGCGGAACTGTCCCCTGGCCCCCTCTCCCTTCACTCTGGCCCAGACTCCATGTGCTGAAGGGGTCCCCAGCTGATGACATATGCAAGAGACAAGATGGAACTGTCCCCTGGCCCCCTCTCTCTTCACTCTGATCCAGAGAGCAGTTGGTGCTGTGGGGAGGGGTCCCCAACTGATGACATATGCAGGAGACAAGGCGGAACTGTCCCCTGGCCCCCTCTCCCTTCACTCTGGCCCAGAGCAGCAGTTGGTGCTGGGGGAGGGGTCCCCAACTGATGACGTATGCAAGAGACAAGATGGAACTGTCCCGTGGTCCCCTCTCTCTTCACTCTGGCCCAGACTGCTGACATATGCAGGAGACAAGGTGGATTACCACCACACAAAGGATTACCACTACACCCGCATTATAGGAAATCTGCTACAAAACAGGAGCTTTTTTGTTGAGTTCCAGGGCCAGAGAAGCAGATGGCGGAAACAGTAGAACGGCCTGCTTTAGGGAAGCGTCCTTGCTCCATCCATGTTTAACATTTATGACCAGCCACTGCCAGAAGGGACAGAGAGTTTCACCTATGCTGACGATCATGCCATCACCGCTCAAGCAGGAGCTTTGAAATGGCTGAACAGGAGTTCTCTGAAGCTTTAGGAGCTCTTACTGCCTATTACAGGGATAACCAGCTGATTCATTTTTCGCTTCCCCCGATCAGAACCAGCATGACGAAGTCAAGAAACAACTGATTGATTTGCAGCTGCAGCACAACGTGCTGAAACTGGAGCATCGCAAAATCGTGGAGACCCACAACCAAAAATATGCCCAGCTGCAGCGGGAGAAGGAGAGTGAGGTCTTGGCTTTGCAGGGTAATTCTAGGGTCAAGAGGAAGTTTCCTCTGAGGATTCCTGCCCTAGATGCAGGCGAAACGTCAGGAGAGAATGCTTCTGGCACATAGGAAAACTCACAACAACCCAGTGATTTTGACCATGAAAGTCTTCGACAATGCATTGAAGTTCCATTGTTTGTGTGTGTGTGTGTGTGTGTTGTAGATACAGTTTACAAGCTGAGAGAAGAAAGCAAACTGCTTCGGAAGGCTCACCAGGAGATCCATTCACAACTTCTCAATGCTCACGTAAGTTTTGGAAATGGGTTTCTTTTCGGGACACACAAAAGGCTCAGGAACTGAATCTCCTTTTTCCAGTCCTTGCTTCACAGTCTATCCAGGGTTAATGTTGCTGGAGCTCCATCCCCGACCCATGGTCCATGCCGGTGTCCTAGCTGGTATCTGTCAGCAGAGGACATGTCTGAATGTTTTTGGACAGGAGTAGGTCACTTGCCGGCCTCCCAATGCCCACAAGCGCTTTCTCTTTGTTCCGGATCTAGGTTCAGATGGAAGAGTTCAGGCAGCTCAAGGAAACCCTTCAAAAGATGCCAAGTTTCAAGGAGATGGCGGGGATGAAAGGGCAGCAGAAGCCCCCCATGCCAGCACTTGCCCCACTGCCAACTGTTAAGCCAAAGGTGGGGTACCCACTTCCCTTCCTGTGTATACACAGATTTCCATTTCAGGACCACCCGCCATAAGTGAAAATCCGTGAAGTAGGGAGGCCATAAATATTTGTACACTAGCTGTACCCGCCACGCGTTGCTGTGGCCAACTTTCCCTCTTTCTCTCCTTCTTTTCCTCCTTCCTTCACTCCCTCTTTCCTTCCTTCCCCTCTTCCTTCTCTTCTCTTCTTTCTCCTTCTTCCCCCCCCTTCTTCTCTCTCTTCCTTTCTTCTTCTCTCTTTCCTCTTTCCTTCCCTCCTTTTCTCCTTTTTCCCCTTCCTCCTTCCTCTTTCCTTCCTTCCTCTTTCTCCTTTCCTTCTTCTTTCCTCTTCCTTCCCTTCCCCCTTTCTTTCTCTCTCTCTCTCTTTTCTTTCCTTCTCTCTCTTCCCTCCTCTCTCTCTTTTTCCTCCTTCCTTCACTCCCTCTTTCCTTCCTCCTTTTCCTCTCTTCTTCCTTCCTTCTCTATCTCTTTCCTTCCTTCCCCCTTTTTCTTTCTTTCTGTCTCTTTCTTCCTTCTCTTTCCTTCTTTCCTTCCCTCCCTCTTTCTCTACATTTTCCCCTTCCTTCACTCCCTCTTTCCTCCTTCCCTTCCTTCCTTCTCTATCTCTTTCCTTCCTTCCCCCTTTTTCTTTCTCTTCTGCTGTCTCTTTTCTTCCTTCTCTCTTTCCTTCCCTCCCTCTTTCTCTACATGTTTCCCCCTTCCTTCACTCCCTCTTTCATTCCTTCCCTCTTTCCTTCCTCCTTCTCTTCCTTCCTTCCTCCCTTTTCTTTCTCTCTTCTCTTCTTCTCTCTCTTTCTTCCCCCTTCCTATCTTCCTCCCTTCCTTCGCTCCCTCTTTCATTTCTTCCTTCCCTTTTCTTCTTCTCTTCTCTTTCCTTCTTTCTTTCTTTCTCTTCCTTTCTCTCCTTCTCTCTTTCCTTCTTCCTTCCCTTCTTTCTCTCTTTCCCCTTCCTTCCTTCCCTCCTTCCTTCCTCTTTCCTCCTTCCTTCCTTCTCTATCTCTTTCCTTCCTTCCCCCTTTTTCTTTCTCTTCTGCTGTCTCTTTTCTTCCTTCTCTCTTTCCTTCTTTCCTTCCCTCCCTCTTTCTCTACATGTTTCCCCCTTCCTTCACTTCCTCTTTCCTTCCTTCCCCTTTCCTCCTTCCTTCCTTCTCTATCTCTTTCCTTCCTTCCCCCTTTTTCTTTCTCTTCTGTGTCTCTTTTCTTCCTTCTCTTTTTCCTTCTTTCCTTCCTCCTCTTTCTCTCTTTCCCCCCTTCACTCCCTCTTTCCTTCCTTTCCCTCTTTTTTCTTTCCTTCTCCTTCCTCCTTCCCCTTTTTTTCTCTTCTTTCTCTTTTCTTCCTTCTCTCCCCCCTCTTTCTCTACATCTTCCCCCCTTCCTTCGCCCTCTTTCCTTCCTCCTTTCCCTTTTTTCTTTCCTTCTCTCCTTCCTTCCTTCTCTAACTTTCCTTCCTTCCCCTCTTTTCTTTCCCTCCCTCTTTCTCTCCTTCCTTCCTTCTCTACTTCTTTCCTTCCTTCCTTCTCTTTTTTCTTACATGCTTCCTTCTCCCTTTCCTTCTTTCCCTCCCTCCCTCTTTCTTTTCTTTCTTTCTTTTTTTCTTCCCCTTCCCTCCCTCTTTCTTCCCTTTTTTTATTGTCATTTAGGTTTTTGGGGCTTTTTAAGTCCCTTCTGCTGTGTTTTTCAGTGTTTTTATGAGTGAAGGACATATATTGGGTTGTTAGGTGTCTTGTGTCCAAATTTGGTGTCAATTCGTCCAGTGGTTTTTGAGTTCTGTTAATCCCACAAACGAACATTACATTTTTATTTATATAGATAGCTGATAATTTGAGACTTTGGTGGTGATGGGGGTTCTGTGTGGGAGGTTTGGCCCAATTCTTTCGTTGGTGGGGTGCAGAATGCTCTGTCATTGTAGGTGAACTATAAATCCCAGCAACTACAACTCCCAAATGTCAAGATTCTATTTTCCCCAAACTCCACCAGTGTTCACATTTGGGCATATTGAGTATTTGTGTAGTGTTTGGTCCAGATCCATCATTGTTTGAGTCCACAGTGATCTCTGGATGATGGAGCTATGCTTCTCTTCCTCTGCAGTCAAGGCAGTGGCAGTTGGGATAGATGGAGGGTCTCTGATCCGTTGTTGGGTGTAGACATGATGGAGCTATGTCTCTTCTGCTTCTCTTTCTCTGCAGCCAAGGCAGTGGCACTTGGGACGGAAGGAGGGCCTTTAATACATTGTTGGGCCTAGAGATGATGGAGCTATCCTTCTCTTCCACTGCAGCAAAGGCAGTGGCAGTTGGGATGCATGGAAAGCCTTGGATCTGTTGTTGGGCCTAGACATGATAGAGCTATGCTTCTCTTCCACTGTAGCAAAGGGAGTGACAGCTGGGATGGAAGGAGGACCTTTGATCTGTTGTTGGGCATAGACATGATGGAGCTATGCCTCTTCTGCTTCTCTTCCACTGCAGCAAAGGCAGTGGCAGTTGGGATGGATGGAAGGCATTGGATCTGTTGTTGGGCCTAGACATGATAGAGCTATACTTCTCTTCCACTGCAGCAAAGGCAGTGGCAGTTGGGATGGATCAGTTGTTGTGATCTGCTATTGGGCGTAGACATGATGGAGCTATGCTTCTCTTCCTCTTCAGCAAAGGCAGTGGCAGTTGGGATGGATGGAAGGCATTGGATCTGTTGTTGGGCCTAGACATGATAGCGCTATGCTTCTCTTCCACTGCAGCAAAGGCAGTGGCAGTGGAAGGAGGAGCTTTGATCTGTTGTTGGGTGCAAATATGGAGCTATGTCTCTTCTGCTTCTCTTCCTTGGCAGCCAACACAGTGACAGTTGGGATGGAAGGAGGGTCTTTGATCCGTTGTTGGGCCTAGATATGATGGAGCTATGCTTCTGAAGGCAGTGACAGTTGGGATGGAAGGAGGGCTTTTGATCCGTTGTTGGGCCTAGGCATGATGGAGCTGTACTTCTCAAGGCAGTGACAGTTGGGATGGAAAGAGGGCCTTTGCTCCGTTGTTGGGCCTAGAGATGATGGAGCTATGCTTCTCAAGGCAGTGACAGTTGGGATGGAAGGAGGACCTTTGATCTATTGTTGGGCCTAGACATGATGGAGCTATGCTTCTCAAGGCAGTGACAGTTGGGATGGAAGGAGGACCTTTGCTCTGTTGTTGGGCCTAGACATGATGGAGCTATGCTTCTGAAGGCAGTGACAGTTGGGTTGGAAGGAGGACCTTTGCTCTGTTGTTGGGCCTAGACATGATGGAGCTATGCTTCTGAAGGCAGTGACAGTTGGGTTGGAAGGAGGACCTTTGCTCCGTTGTTGGGCCTAGACATGATGGAGCTATGCTTCTCAAGGCAGTGACAGTTGGGATGGAAAGAGGACCTTTGCTCTGTTGTTGGGCCGAGACATGATGGAGCTATGCTTCTCAAGGCAGTGACAGTTGGGTTGGAAGGAGGACCTTTGCTCTGTTGTTGGGCCGAGACATGATGGAGCTATGCTTCTCAAGGCAGTGACAGTTGGGTTGGAAGGAGGACCTTTGCTCCGTTGTTGGGCCTAGACATGATGGAGCTATGCTTCTGAAGGCAGTGACAGTTGGGTTGGAAGGAGGACCTTTGCTCCGTTGTTGGGCCTAGACATGATGGAGCTATGCTTCTGAAGGCAGTGACAGTTGGGTTGGAAGGAGGGACTTTGCTCTGTTGTTGGGCCTAGACATGATGGAGCTATGCTTCTGAAGGCAGTGACAGTTGGGTTGGAAGGAGGACCTTTGCTCTGTTGTTGGGCCTAGACATGATGGAGCTATGCTTCTCAAGGCAGTGACAGTTGGGATGGAAAGAGGACCTTTGCTCTGTTGTTGGGCCTAGACATGATGGAGCTATGCTTCTGAAGGCAGTGACAGTTGGGTTGGAAGGAGGACCTTTGCTCCGTTGTTGGGCCTAGACATGATGGAGCTATGCTTCTGAAGGCAGTGACAGTTGGGTTGGAAGGAGGACCTTTGCTCCGTTGTTGGGCCTAGACATGATGGAGCTATGCTTCTGAAGGCAGTGACAGTTGGGTTGGAAGGAGGACCTTTGCTCCGTTGTTGGGCCTAGACATGATGGAGCTATGCTTCTGAAGGCAGTGACAGTTGGGTTGGAAGGTGGACCTTTGCTCCGTTGTTGGGCCTAGACATGATGGAGCTATGCTTCTGAAGGCAGTGACAGTTGGGTTGGAAGGAGGACCTTTGCTCCGTTGTTGGGCCTAGACATGATGGAGCTATGCTTCTGAAGGCAGTGACAGTTGGGTTGGAAGGAGGACCTTTGCTCTGTTGTTGGGCCTAGACATGATGGAGCTATGCTTCTGAAGGCAGTGACAGTTGGGTTGGAAGGAGGACCTTTGCTCCGTTGTTGGGCCTAGACATGATGGAGCTATGCTTCTGAAGGCAGTGACAGTTGGGTTGGAAGGAGGACCTTTGCTCCGTTGTTGGGCCTAGACATGATGGAGCTATGCTTCTGAAGGCAGTGACAGTTGGGTTGGAAGGAGGACCTTTGCTCCGTTGTTGGGCCTAGACATGATGGAGCTATGCTTCTGAAGGCAGTGACAGTTGGGTTGGAAGGAGGACCTTTGCTCCGTTGTTGGGCCTAGACATGATGGAGCTATGCTTCTGAAGGCAGTGACAGTTGGGTTGGAAGGAGGACCTTTGCTCCGTTGTTGGGCCTAGACATGATGGAGCTATGCTTCTGAAGGCAGTGACAGTTGGGTTGGAAGGAGGACCTTTGCTCCGTTGTTGGGCCTAGACATGATGGAGCTATGCTTCTGAAGGCAGTGACAGTTGGGTTGGAAGGAGGACCTTTGCTCCGTTGTTGGGCCTAGACATGATGGAGCTATGCTTCTCAAGGCAGTGACAGTTGGGATGGAAAGAGGACCTTTGCTCTGTTGTTGGGCCTAGACATGATGGAGCTATGCTTCTGAAGGCAGTGACAGTTGGGTTGGAAGGAGGACCTTTGCTCCGTTGTTGGGCCTAGACATGATGGAGCTATGCTTCTGAAGGCAGTGACAGTTGGGTTGGAAGGAGGACCTTTGCTCCGTTGTTGGGCCTAGACATGATGGAGCTATGCTTCTGAAGGCAGTGACAGTTGGGTTGGAAGGAGGGACTTTGCTCTGTTGTTGGGCTTAGACATGATGGAGCTATGCTTCTGAAGGCAGTGACAGTTGGGTTGGAAGAAGGACCTTTGCTCTGTTGTTGGGCCTAGACATGATGGAGCTATGCTTCTGAAGGCAGTGACAGTTGGGTTGGAAGGAGGACCTTTGCTCTGTTGTTGGGCCTAGACATGATGGAGCTATGCTTCTGAAGGCAGTGACAGTTGGGATGGAAAGAGGACCTTTGCTCTGTTGTTGGGCCTAGACATGATGGAGCTATGCTTCTGAAGGCAGTGACAGTTGGGTTGGAAGGAGGACCTTTGCTCCGTTGTTGGGCCTAGACATGATGGAGCTATGCTTCTGAAGGCAGTGACAGTTGGGTTGGAAGGAGGACCTTTGCTCCGTTGTTGGGCCTAGACATGATGGAGCTATGCTTCTGAAGGCAGTGACAGTTGGGTTGGAAGGAGGACCTTTGCTCCGTTGTTGGGCCTAGACATGATGGAGCTATGCTTCTGAAGGCAGTGACAGTTGGGTTGGAAGGTGGACCTTTGCTCTGTTGTTGGGCCGAGACATGATGGAGCTATGCTTCTTTGCGAGATGAACCCGTGGCAATGCTTCTTTAGCCTCTTTTTCTGTTCTAGGTTTCGGTAGCTAATGCCGCAAAAGCATCTCTGAGCCCCTTGGAGAAGACTGGGAACTCCCTTTTCGCTCCGGCCTCTGACACCAAGCGCCAGGGAGGCGAAAACCTTCCTGATGGCCAAGTCTCGTACAGAAACGATGGTCCGAAGGCACAGGGCAGCATGCCATTGGGTCAAGTGGCTCCGCCGAATGACGTCCATTTGCCACCCGCGGCCTGGGCTCCTGCAGGGCAGAGGGACAACCCCATCATTCGCTTCACAAGGATGGTGAATAGTGTGCAGAACGGAAACACGGTAAGAATATTCTGGGTAGAATTCTATTAGATTTTTTCAGAGCTTGGAAACTGTAATTTTGCTCCTGTTATGAATTGTAATGTATATATTTGATATGCAAGATGTATTTTCATTCACTGGACCAAATTTCATTCAGTGGACCAATAGTGGTGGGGTTTCGAGGGCACCGACCTCAAAGGTTGGGAGTTATAGTTCACCCACAATGACAGATCCAGAGTGAAGAGAGAGGGGGGCAGAAGATAGTTCCACCTTGTTTCCTGTGCTATGTTAATAATATAATATAATATAATATAATATAATATAATATAATATAATATAATATAATATATAGTATATACATATAATATTTATATTATAATATAATGCAATATAATACTAATAATAATATATTATAATTATATATTTATATTACATGTAATATTACTAATAATCAACTTTTTGTTGATTATATATTTCCATCATACTTACTGCCAGCACATGGGGTGCAGACCCAAAATTAATAAGAACATCAGCCCTGGCCTTGTCTGACTCAACTGTCGAGTATGCCTGCCCTGTTTGGCATAGGTCTGCCCATGCAAAGCAGGTGAGCATAGCATTGAATGAAACATGCAGAATAATCACAGGATGTCTTTAAACCTACACCTGTTGATAAACTCTACAAGCTAGCTGGCATTGCCCCGATGTGCGATGGGAAGTTGCTGCTAAATGTGAGAGAAATAAGGTTGAACCCTGTGAAAGCCCCCCACTGCATGGCTACCAGCCTCCTCCCAGTAGACTCAATTCAAGGAAAAGCTTTAGGAGAACGACCACTCCATGCAAACCAGGTGAACATAGCATTGAATGAAACATGCAGAGTAATCACAGGATGTCTTAAACCTACACCTGTTGAGAAACTCTACAAGCTAGCTGGCATTGCCTCCCCTCCCTCCCTTCTCCATTCCCTTCCTCCCTTCCTTCCCTCCATCCTTCTCTTCCTCTTCCTTCTCTCTTTCCTTGCTGCTAAATGTGAGGGAAATAAGGTTGAACCCTGTGAAAGCCCCCCACTCCATCGCTACCAGCCTCCTCCCAGTAGACTCCAATCAAGGAAAAGCTTTATGAGAACTACCACTCCATGCAAACTCTCATTGAATGAAACATGCAGAATAATCACAGGATGTCTTAAACCTACACCTGTTGAGAAACTCTCATTGAATGAAACATGCAGAATAATCACAGGATGTCTTAAACCTACACCTGTTGAGAAACTCTCATTGAATGAAACATGCAGAATAATCACAGGATGTCTTAAACCTACACCTCTTGATAAAGTCTCATTGAACAAACATGCAGAATAATCACAGGATGTCTTAAACCTACACCTCTTGCTAAACTCATTGAACGAAATATGAAGAATAATCACAGGATGCCTTAAACCTACCCCTGTTGACAAACTCTCACTGAATGAAACACGTAGAATAATCACAGAATGTCTTATACCTACACCTCTTGATAAACTCTCATTGACTGAAACATGCAGAATAATCACAGGATGTCTTAAACCTACACCTGTTGATAAACTCTACAAGCTAGCTGGCATTGCCCCCCCCCCTCCCGATGTGCGATGGGAAGTTGGTGCTAAATGTGAGAGAAATAAGGTTGAACCCTGTGAAAGCCCCCCACTGCATGGCTACCAGCCTCCTCCCAGTAGACTCAATTCAAGGAAAAGCTTTATGAGAACGACCACTCCTCTTGGCGTCCCTCCAGCAACAGCAAGGGAATCCCTCTGGGCAGCTCAACCAGGAAATCCCAACTGGATGGCCTCCCACGAGGGTCTTCCTCCCTAAGAATGGGCAACTTGGAAGTCCCAGAATAGATTCAGAAGCGGAGTGGGCAGATCAAAAGACAACCTGGCAAAATGGCACTACCTAAAAGAATCCCACACCTTGTGTGACGTGGAGCTGAACAGACAACTCTGCATCTGTATGCTTGTCCACTGTGCCCTGCCTCATGTACAGAGGAGGATTTGCTGGAGGCTACAGACAAGGCCATTGCTGTTGCCCGTTTTTGGTCAAAATCTATTTAGCCGCCTGTGCGCCTTCTATTTTTATCAGCTTTATACTAATTTATGCAATGCTTAAATTCATACTGGTTCCAGTTACACCTTAGGGTTTTTTCCCTCCTTTCTTCTGTAGGATCACAAATCAACGAAGGCAGAAAATGAGGACAATGTACACCCTGATCACAGGATTTCTCCTGCTTTGGAGGCAGCACAGACCTTGGGTAAACAGCCCTCCATGGGAAGCGAGTGGGATCCTGCCGTGCAAAGGTATGCCCTGTAGTGAGGTTAATGGGCACTAGGGTGAGCCACAGCAAGGACTCTTCCTTCCCCTCCAAATGACCATAGGAGAGTTATTACGGAGATGTTGCAGAAGCAGAGAGAACACACACAGATGCAGGGCAACGTAGGACCTTATCACACAAAGCTCTAAAAATGTAATGCAAGATGCATTGTTGGCATGGACCCAGTTGGCATGGACCCGTATCCACTTCTAAAAGTATGTACAATGCAGCAATGAGTAAACCCAGGGGTCCATTTTCCTGTTCTATGACTTGCACCAACATTTTGGTTGACCCAGAAGTTATTAGAAGGGATAAAGCTATGGACAATGCAGTCACTGTTGCCCGTTTTCGGTCTAAAATTATTAAGCCGCTTACGATCCCTCTATTTGATCAGTTTTATACTTGTTTATTTATGCAATATGGTAGACGTTATGCAGCATTTTTCTGTGTTGCACTGTGTCATAAGTTGCCGTGCGAGAAGCCTCGGTGTGAAGTAGGCCTCACGGTGTGAGGTAGGCCTTTGTCTGTGAGAGAAGCCTCCGTGTGAGGTAGGCCTCACGGTGTGAGGTAGGCCTACCTCACACTGGGAGGTCTTCTCTCACAGACTAAGGCCTACCTCACACTGGGAGGCCTTCTCTCACAGACTAAGGCCTACCTCACACTGGGAGGCTTTTCACAGACTAAGGCTTACCTCACACTGGGAGGCCTTTCACAGACTAAGGCCTACCTCACACTGAGGCTTTCTCTCACAGACTAAGGCCTACCTCACACTGTGAGGCCTACCTCACACTGAGGCCTTCTCTCACAGACTAAGGCCTACCTCACACTGTGAGGCCTACCTCACACTGTGAGACCTTCTCTCACAGACTAAGGCCTACCTCACACTGTGAGGCCTACCTCACACAGAGGCTTCTCTCACAGACTTACTTACTTACTTAGGCGATCCCTCGTTTTCCGAGGAGGATTGTCTTCCAATATTTTTGTGAGTCCGTATGTGGCTGTGGAGCCCTATTCTTGCTCTGCATCTTCTTCTGCAGTGAGGAGGGCATTGGTTTCCAGGTGGAAGGCGGACTCGGTCGGGGTTGGCTTGGCGCGCCTTCCTCTTGGCACGCTTCTCCCTTTCTCCCTCCGTTTGTGCCTCTTCAAATTCTGCAGCACTGCTGGTCACAGCTGACCTCCAGCTGGAGCGGTCAAGGGCCAGGGCTTCCCAGTTCTCAGTGTCTATGCCAGAGTTTTTAAGGTTGGCTAAGGCCTACCTCACACTGTGAGGCCTTCTCTCACAGACTAAGGCCTACCTCACACTGTGAGGCCTACCTCACACAGAGGCTTCTCTCACAGACTAAGGCCTACCTCACACTGTGAGGCAAAATAAATAATATGCAAAATAAAATCAGAAGGGATGAATTTGTTGGTAAATGAAGTTGGGGGGGGGGGGAGGTGAATCTTGACTTAGAAGACAACACATGATTCCCACAGTTCCCACCCTGATGCTGATGGCTTTCATTTTTTTTCACCTTCAGCTGGCAAGACACTGTGAAAAAAGTCAATGCACGGATGGATGAGAAGCAAGCCCCTCCTTATCCACAAAGCATTCATGATCCAGTGGTGACAAATGGCAAGCCAAAGATGGCCGGTCAACACGAAAGTGCAGAGCGGTTACCGATATCCAGCTGGACGGATGGAAAAGGAGGGATGGATAATGAGGAGCTTCAAATGGGTATGGTTTCTGCCTTGAAGGAATGTGTGTCTTGGTATATGCTTGCAGGAAACGTTGGTCTGTATAGCCAGGTTAACAACAGTCAGATAACCAGCTGGGTGTTGCACTCCAGGACAGGAAAAGCCCTCTGACTGGAAATACCACACCGTTGATTGGAAAACAATCCTTTTATTGAAGATAATTAAAAAACAGGAAAGTAAAAAGCACTTTAAAGAAATAGGTAAATCCAATTAGGCAAGAAGATAAGCAGGAGCAAAAGTAGTCCAGGGTAAAGTTCAGCAAAGTCCATAAAAACAAAGTCCACACTTCTCTAATATCATTCAGAAAACCAGGAAACATTAATCCAAGGCATGAGTAGGCATTCATACAATCCACGAATCCAAACCATGAAATAAGAAATACTTAAGATAAGAATCTTCCAAGCAAGGCTTCCATGAAACCAGGAAGAGAACTACAATTGACTCCAAACGATGCTTCATCTGACTATATTTCCCATACTTGGAACTTTTATCTCCTTGTTAAACTATTCCAAACACTCAGAAATTTTAAAAAAAAAAACCTCTAAAATTACAACAGCACAACAACAGAGAGGAAACAAACAAGGACATCTAATCACCTCTCAACAAAAGTTTGCTCTAGGCACTGTCAGGCCATTATATGCTAATCAAGGTGGTCAGTTGAAACATTCACACCTTGCTCCAGCAGACAAGAGTCCTTTGTCTCACCCTGGTCATTCCACAGATACATAAACCCTTTTTCCTACTTCCAACAGACCTCACTACCTCTGAGGATGCTTGCCATAGATGCAGGCGAAACGTCAGGAGAAAATGCCTCTAGGCCATGGCCATATAGCCCAAAAAAACCTACAACAACCCAGTGATTCCGGCCATTGAAAGCCTTCGACAATACTCAGAAATTAGTTTCGCTTTAATTGAGATTCCCTTATCTTTTTCTGTCAGATCCTGGCAGACCGCCGAAGCCACTGTTTGGTTTGCCTGTTTTGACTAATCTCTTGCCGCCTACCTATTTGCTCATTAAATTTTGCAGCTGGGACGGGTACCCAGTTGTTTTCAAGCCCCAAATCCTGGGAACTCTCTGGTAGCAATTCAGAGAGCACACCATCATCCCCACACCCTTCAGGGACATTCTCATGGGAAACTACACTTTGCACAGGGGTCCCCTGGTCTTTCTCTGCATCAGTATCATTGACCACACCAATACCATCTTGAAATTCATCGGCATCACTTTCCACATCCAAAGCACCCTGATCCTGAAACACAATCACAGGTTGAACTCCAACACTGGGATGCACCTGAACAGTAAAGGTGAAAGACTCAAAGGACTGTTGGGAACAGAAGGTGTAGAGATAGGCATGGCTTGTTTACATTTCGATTTGCTTTCTTCAGACGCTGGCATAATTGCAAGAGAAGAGGACCCACGTTCTTATAAGGAAGTGATTGCCCATCGATCTGCGGTAAGAGGACATAGGGTTTTGAATTGGGCATTGGGCGGAGTATTGACATTGGTGTGTCATTTCCATGGACCATCAAGCTTAACTTTCCAGCAAGTTTAGACATTTCCAAGAAATCACTGCTTTTGACCACACCGTTGACTTAGTCTTAAGGTGGTGGCGTGTTTGGGAGACTTGGAAAACTGTGTCCAGTTCTGGGAACACGTTGATAAGCTGCAATGTTTATTTTATTTTATTTTATTTATTTACGACATTTAAATGTTGCCCTTCTCACCCCGAAGGGGACTCAGAGTGGCTTACAAGATATCTATCTATCTATCTATCTATCTATCTATCTATCTATCTATCTATCTACACACATACACATACATACACACACACACAATATATATTATATTATTAGCATAGTACAATGTCACTATTCCTTCCCAGGTAATTATTATTATTATTATTATTATTATTATTATTATTATTATTATTATTATTATTATTATTATAGGGACTCGATGTGGCTTACAAAGGCCAAGCTCTAATCCTTAGAGCTCAAGATGCTTGTCTGCTCTTAAGGTGGAAAGCACACATCTGCATTTTAGATAGATCAGGAATCAGCTAGTTTTCCCTGCAATAGGCAGTAAGAGCACCTAAAGCTTCGGAGAGCTTCAGTTCAACTATTTAAAAGCTCCCAGCTTAAGCAGTGATGGCACAATCGTCAGCATAGATGAAACTCTTTGTCACTTCTGGCAGTGGCTGGTGATTTGTGTAAATGTTAAACATTGATGGTGCATGCTACTTTTCTGTGTAATAATAATAATAATAATAATAATAATAATAATGAAAAAACTTTATTTCTACCCCGCTCCATCTCCCCCAGGGGGACTCGGGGCAGCTTACATGAGGCTACGTCCATCAATACAATAAACACAAAAACATAACAAAACCAAAAAATATAATACATAAAATGCAAAAACCAATAGGCAGTAAGAACACCTAAAGCTTCTGAGAGCTTCTGTTGAACTGTTTCAAAGCTCCCGTCTTGAGTGGTAATGGCACGATCGTCTGCATAGATAAACTCTCTGTCCCTTCTGGCAGTACCTGGTGATCTGTGTAACTGTTGAACATCGATGGAACAAGCACGTTCCCCTGAGGCAGGCCATTCTTCTGTTTTCGCCATCTGCTTCTCTGACTCTGGAACCCAACAAAAAAGCTCCTGTTTTGTAGAGAAGGCTGAGAGGGACATGATATCCATGTTGGAAAGGATGTCGTATTGAGGGGAGAGCAAGCTTCTTTTCTGCTACTCAAGAGACTAGGACAGAGAGCAACAGATTCCACCTAGAACTTCCCAACAGTAGGAGGGACATTTGAATTTCTCTCAGTCCTTGACAGGAGGATGTATCTCAGCATTGGGACGTTGTGTGGATGCCTCCTGTTCCTTGCTTTCTATTCAGGTGCCCGATCGGGCTGCTGACCCTGCCCAGGACCCCAACAACCAAGGGGAAGATGAGTTCGAAGAGGCAGAGCTGGAACGCCCGGACTTTGACGAGAAAGCCAATCAGGCCGATAACAATGGCCTTGGCCCAACAAACGGAGCAGCAAAAGATTCAACCAAGGAAAAGATCCCAAAAGTTGTATGTATGTGGCTGTGTGCGAGCTGGGCAAAAGACCCCATTATTGTTTGGAATCTGATATTCGCAGATCAATTATATTTTTCCCTCTGCGATCTTCTTCTAAAAGGGAAACAGATCTGTAACTGAACAGGAGTAACTACTTCGCGGTTTGCTTTTAGCAGACTCGCTGTTTCGCGGTTTTCAAAAAATATTAATTTAAAATATATATGGCGGTATTTTTGCTGTTTCACGGGTTTTTGCTGTCATCGCTCTCCAGGCGCTTTCCCTCCTCAGTCCTCCTTCCCTCCAGCCTTTCCTTCCTTTCTTTCACTTTATTTTAAGTTTATAAAGACTTAAAATAGTGTTGGCATGTGTGATCCATGGTTCTAAATGGTTCCACCCCACCTCACTGCCTCTGAGGATGCTTGCCACAGATGCAGGCGAAACGTCAGGAGAGAATGCCTCTAGACCATGGCCATATAGACTGAAAAAAACCTACAACAACCCAGTTATTCCGGTCATGAAAGCCTTCGCCAATATGGTTCCAAAGTACTTACAAAAGTAGGGGGTGCTAGTGCTTTGCTTCTAAAGTTTTTCTAAAGCTGGAGCTTTGCTTCTAAAGTGTTTCTAAAGTTCTGGTGGTGAAAATTTCAGAACTCTAACAAAACTTTCAAAATTTCATTATGATTTCGTTAATGGCGATTTTTATGACAGAACCAATAAGAAACTGCCATTTATAACGAAACTAGGGAGTGCTGGAGCTTTGCTTCTAAGGTGTTTCTAAAGTTCTGGTGGTGAAAATTTCAGAACTCTAACAAAACTTTCAAAATTTCATTGTGATTTCGTTAATGGCGATTTTTATGACAGCACCAATTAGAAACTGCCATTTATAACGAAACTAGGGGGTGCTGGTGCTTTGCTTCTAAAGTGTTTCCAAAGCTGGAGCTTTGCTTCTAAAGTGTTTCTAAAGTTCTGGTGGTGAAAATTTCAGAACTCTAACAAAACTTTCAAAATTTCATTGTGATTTCGTTAATGGCGATTTTTATGACAGCACCAATTAGAAACTGCCATTTATAACGAAACTAGGGGGTGCTGGTGCTTTGCTTCTAAAGTGTTTCCAAAGCTGGAGCTTTGCTTCTAAAGTGTTTCTAAAGTTCTGGTGGTGAAAATTTCAGAACTCTAACAAAACTTTCAAAATTTCATTGTGATTTCGTTAATGGCGATTTTTATGACAGCACCAATTAGAAACTGCCATTTATAACGAAACTAGGGGGTGCTGGTGCTTTGCTTCTAAAGTGTTTCTAAAGTTCTAGTGGTGGAAATTTCAGAACTCTAACTTTCAAAATTTCATTATGATTTCGTTAATGGCGATTTTTATGACAGAACCAATTAGGAACTGCCATTTATAACGAAATTTTGAAAGTTTTGTTATGAGTTCTGAAATTTTCACCACCAGAACTTTAGAAACACTTTAGAAGCAAAGCACCAGTTTTGTAAATACTTTAGAACCATGGATCGCACATGCCTAGTGTATAACTACTCAAATAATGTATAAATATTAAAATTTATTTATTTATTTATTTTGCGCATTTCTACCCCGCCCTTCTCAACCCCCCGAGGGGGGATCAGGGCGGCTTACAAAAGTCACAATTCGATGCCAACACAACAATAAGATAAAACATATATCAACAGCAATTATAAACAATTAAAACAATCAATTATACATCACAATCAATAAAACCAATCTAATGCTCAACGTTCGCCAGCTCAGAATCCGTAAGTTCATTCCACATTGTCAAATCCTATCAATTCTAGTCGTCATTGTCCTTTGTCTATCTGCCAGATTACCCAAAGGCCTGGTCCCATATCCATGTTTTTAGTTTCCTTCTAAAAGAGAGGAGGGATGTCGATGACCTAATTTCCCCCGGGGAGTGAATTCCACAGGCGAGGGGCCACCACCGAGAAGGCCCTGCTCCTCGTCCCCACCAATCTCACTTGTGATAGAGGTGAGGCCGAAAGCAGGGCCTCCCCAGAAGATCTTAAACTCCGAGGCGGGACGTAGAAGGAGATGCGTTCGGACTGGTACACTGGGCCGGAGCCGTATAGGGTTTTGTAGGTCAGAACCAGCACTTTGAATTGTGCTCGGAACTGGATCGGCAGCCAGTGGAGCTGACACAACAGGGGGGTGGTATGCTCCCTGAATGATGCTCCGGTGAGTAATCTGGCTGCCGCTTGACTAGTTGAAGTTTCCGAACAGTCTTCAAAGGCAACCCCACGTAGAGTGCGTTGCAGTAATCTATTCGGGATGTAAAAAGAGCGTGGACCACTGTGGCCAGATCTGGTCCCATATCCATGTTTTTAGTTTTCTTCTAAAAGAGAGGAGGGATGTCGATGACCTAATTTCCCCGGGAAGTGAATTCCACAGGCGAGGGGCCACCACCGAGAAGGCCCTGCTCCTCGTCCCCACCAATCTCACTTGTGATAGAGGTGGGGCCGAGAGCAGGGCCTCCCCAGAAGATCTTAAACTCCGAGGCGGGACGTAGAAGGAGATGCGTTCGGACTGGTACACTGGGCCGGAGCCGTATAGGGTTTTGTAGGTCAGAACCAGCACTTTGAATTGTGCTCGGAACTGGATCGGCAGCCAGTGGAGCTGACATAACAGAGGGGTGGTATGCTCCCTGTATGACACTCCGGTGAGTAATCTGGCTGCCGCCCGCTGGACTAATTGAAGTTTCCGAACAGTCTTCAAAGGCAACCCCATGTAGAGTGCATTGCAGTAATCTATTTGGGATGCAACAAGAGCGTGGACCACTGTGGCCAGATCAGACTTCCATTGTCCATGTTTTTAGTTTCCTTCTAAGAGAGAGGAGAGATGTTGGTGACCTAATTTCCCCGGGGAGCGAATTCCACAGGTGAGGGGCCACCACCGAGAAGGCCCTGCTCCTCGTCCCCACCAATCTCACTTGTGGTAGAGGTGGGGCCGAGAGCAGGGCCTCCCCAGAAGATCTTAAACTCCGAGGCGGGACATAGAAGGAGATGCGTTCGGACAGATATGCTGGGCCGGAACCGTATAGGGTTTTGTAGGTCAAAACCAGCACTTTGAATTGTGCTCGGAACTGGATCGGCAGCCAGTGGAGCTGACATAACAGAGGGGTGGTATGCTCCCTGTATGACGCTCCGGTGAGTAATCTGGCTGCCGCCCGCTGGACTAATTGAAGTTTCCGAACAGTCTACAAAGGCAACCCCATGTCGAGTCCGTTGCAGTAATCTATTCGGGACGTAACAAAATATAGCGGTTTTTCACTTATTGCGGGAGGTCCTGGAACCTAACCCCTGCAATAAGTGAGGGAACACTGTACATCCCAAAATAGGTAGCGAGAAAGATGTTGGTGGCCGCATTAATTCGACAGTACGGATGTACCCGATGTGTTCCTCCAGGCTGTTATCCAGGAGAGAAGCAGAGAAGCCCTTCCTTGTTCTGACATGCTGCCCGATCTGCTCTGCATCACTTGTTTTCTCCAAGGCAGCAATTTCCCTGTCACGATCCGAGACAGAAAGTGGTGGCTAGGTTAGACGGGTGTGTGTATTTAAAGCACTCCCATCCACACAACGTGGCATTTCAAGATCAGCTGTCACTTGGAATGCATTTAGCTCTGGTCTGTGCTTTGGTTGAATGATGGATATTAGGACTTTCGAGGTGAAAAACCTGCAGAGTACAGACCCAAAGGTTTCATGACTTCCATGCATTAAAGCAATATTGTTGTTGTTCATTCGTTCAGTCGTCTCCGACTCTTCGTGACCTCATGGACCAGCCCACGCCAGAGCTCCCTGTCGGCCGTTACCACCCCCAGCTCCCTCAAGGTCAGTCCAGTCACTTCAAGGATGCCATCCATCCATCTTGCCCTTGGTCGGCCCCTCTTCCTTTTGCCTTCCACTTTCCCCAGCATAATTGTCTTCTCTAGCCTTTCCTGTCTCCTCATGATGTGGCCAAAGTACTTCAACTTTGTCTCTAGTATCCTTCCCTCCAATGAGCAGTCGGGCTTTATTTCCTGGAGGATGGACTGGTTGGATCTTCTCGCAGTCCAAGGCACTCTCAGCACTTTCCTCCAACACCACAGCTCAAAAGCATCAATCTTCCTTCGCTCAGCCTTCCCTAAGGTCCAGCTCTCACATCCGTAGGTGACTACAGGGAATACCATGGCTTTGACTAGGCGGATCTTTGTTGCCAGTCTGATGTCTCTACTCTTCACTATTTTATCGAGATTGGACATTGCTCTCCTCCCAAGAAGGAAGCGTCTTCTGATTTCCTGGCTACAGTCTGCATCTGCAGTCATCTTTGCACCTAGAAATACAAAGTCTGTCACGGCCTCCACGGTTTCTCCCTCTATTTTCCAGTTGTCAATCATTCTTGTTGCCATAATCTTGGTTTTTTTGACGTTTAGCTGCAACCCGGCTTTTGAGCTTTCTTCTTTCACCTTGATTAGAAGGCTCCTCAGCTCCTCCTCGCTTTCGGCCATCAGAGTGGTGTCATCTGCATATCTGAGGTTGTTGATGTTTCTTCCAGCAATTTTCACCCCAGCTTTGCATTCATCAAGCCCCGCACATCGCATGATGTGTTCTGCATACAAGTTAAAAAGGTTGGGTGAGAGGATGCAGCCTTGCCGTACGCCTTTCCCAATCTTGAACCAGTCTGTTGTTCCATGGTCAGTTCTGACTGTTGCTACTTGGTCCTTGTACAGATTCCTCAGGAGAGAGACAAGGTGGCTTGGGATGCCCATCCCACCAAGAACTTGCCACAATTTATTATGATCCACACAGTCAAAGGCTTTAGAATAGTCAATGAAGCAGAAGTAGATGTTTTTCTGAAACTCCCTGCCTTTCTCAATTCTCCAGCATCCGGATATCGGCAATCTGGTCTCTGGTTCCTCTGCCTTTTCTAAACCCAGCTTGAACATCTGGCAACTCTCGCTCCATGTATTGCTGGATTCTTCCTTGCAGGATCTTGAGCATTACCTTACTGGCATGAGAAATAAGGGCCACTGTACGGAAGTTGGAGCAGTCTTTCGCAATATATATTTTAAATTAATATTTATTGAAAACCGCGAAACAGCGAGTCCGCAATAAGCGAACCGCGAAGTAGTGAGGGAACACCGTACTTTGCAGTATATAATAATTCTTCAATTTTTTTGTTTGTTCAACAATAAATGGAAAAATAAGACATCCCCTGAAAATAATACCCAGCGCATCTTTGGGAGCAAAAATTAATATACATCTTTGGAGGCTATGCTCGGTTCCGGTCACAGGGAGGTGCTGTCACTCCATCTCCTTGTCGAAGAGCTTTCTTCGTTCGTAAGCTTCCTTTTTTCTGGGTTGTTGTAGTTTTTCCGGGCTATATGGCCATGTTCTAGAGGCATTTTCTCCTGACGTTTCGCCTGCATCTATGGCAAGCATCCTCAGAGGTAGTGAGGTCTGTTGGAAGTAGGAAAAATGAGTTTATATATCTGTGGAAAGACCAGGGTGGGACAAAGGACTCTTGTCTGCTGGAGCTAGGTGTGAATGTTCAACAGAAAGGAAGAAACCATGAAAATGAACAAAATCTGGCCACCAGTATTAAAAAAAAACTCAAAAATTACAACAGCAAAACAACAGAGAGTAAACAATCAGGCACATCGAATCACCTCTCAAAGAAAGATTCCCCCAGGCACTTCCAAGCCAATAAATGCTAATCATTTTCATGGTTTCTTCCTTTCTGTTGAACATTCACACCTAGCTCCAGCAGACAAAAGTCCCTTGTCCCACCCTGGTCTTTCCACAGATATAAAAACCCATTTTCCTACTTCCAACAGACCTCACTACCTCTGAGGATGCTTGCCATAGATCCAGGCAAAATGTCAGGAGAAAAATTGCCTCCAGAACATGGCCATATAGCCCGGAAAACCTACAAGTGATTCCGGCCATGAAAGCCTTCGACAATACATTCCTTTTTTCTGATCGGAAATACCTCCCCGCTTTAATGCGGTTCCTATTTATCTACTCACAAATTTGTTTTCGAACTGCTAGGTAGGCAGGAGCAGGGCCAAATGTCAGGCGCTCACCCTGACCCGGCTTCAAACTGGGTTGGCAAGATTTATTTCAGCTTGGTAATTAACCTGCTGTGCTAAAGCCCAGCCCTTTGTCATTTGGGGAGCCATGTTGCTTAAGATTTTATCCTGTCGGCTTAAAAATGTCATCTCTTCATTCCAGGATGCTGCTGGACCTAAGAAAATTTCAAATGATCTGATGGATGATTATCAAGAAGACGAGGAAGAAGACCTTGTACGAGTCCCAGGTTTGTTCTTTTCCTGCCTTTCTCTCCCCATAAGTCTCCTTTATTTATTTGTTTGTTTGTTTACAGCATTTCTCTTCCGCCCTTCTCCTCACCCCGCAGGGGACTCAGGGCGGATTACAGTCTACACATATATGGCAAACATTCAATGTCAATTTTTGACATACAAACATATACAGACATACAGAGAGGCTATTTCACTTTTTCTGGCCGCCAGGGGAGCTGTCGCTTTCATCGTCCATCTGCGACGCTGATGAAGCTCTTCCGCATTCCCCGCATGCTTCCCCGCTGGAATGCTTTTGCTGGAGTCTTTTTATGGCCTCATAAATCAGTTAATTTAGCCTCCCCACACTTTAAGGTGGTACCTTATTTTCCTACTTGAGAGATGCAACTGTCTTTCGGGTTGCAAAGGTCGACAACAGGCTACACACAATTGGTTGGAAACCCACTCCAACCTGGGCTGATGAAGCACTTCCGCATTCCCCGCATGCTTCCCCGCTGGAATGCTTTGCTGGAGTCTTCTTTATGGCCTCATAAATCAGTTAATTTAGCCTCCCCACACTTTAAGGTGGTACTTATTTTCCTACTTGACAGATGCAACTGTCTTTCGGGTTGCAAAGGTCGACAACAGGCTACACACAATTGGTTGGAAACCCACTCCAACCTGGGCTGATGAAGCACTTCCGCATTCCCCGCATGCTTCCCTGGAATGCTTTGCTGGAGTCTTCTTTATGGCCTCATAAATCAGTTAATTTAGCCTCCCCACACTTTAAGGTGGTACCTCATTTTCCTACTGTCTTTCGGGTTGCAAAGGTCGACAACAGGCTACACACAATTGGTTGGAAACCCACTCCAACCCGGGCTGGCTTCGAACTCATGACCTTTTTGGTCAGAGTGATCTTAATGCAACTGACACTCTTCCAGCTGCGCCACAATCCCGGTGTAATAGGCAGTAAGAGCACCTAGAGCTTCGGAGAGCTTCTGTTCTACCATCTCAAAGCTCCCTGCTTGAGCGGTGATGGCACGATCATCAGCATAGATGAAGCTCTCTGTCCCTTCTGGCAGTGGCTGGTCATTTGTGTAGATGTTAAACATTGATGGAACAAGCTTTGGAGAGCTTCTCTTCAACCATTTCAAAGCTCCCTGCTTGGGCAGTGATGGCACGATCATCAGCATAGATGAAACTCTGTCCCTTCCATAGCATTGGACCATGGCATTTAAAGAAGGTTCAAATTGCAAGCATTCTACAATGCAGACACACTCGAAGTCTCTTCTCGTTCTGTCTATATTTTCTTCCTGTTGAGCAGCAACGCTGGGGAGGGAGATGGATTAAAAGCCCTTGCTTGTGTTGCAATGAACCCAATTAGCGCCCTGGCATCGTCTGAGATGCCTGGAAACCAATTATGTCAGGCTCTGAGTGCCCGCGGCCCCTTTGATTGCAGGCAGGGCAAGGAGCTGCCCTTTGGCACCACTGGGCCAAGCACTTCCTTTGGATCTTGGCTGTGCCATTGAAAATGCAATTTGTGATTCAGAGTGCAGCGGGAAGGAAGTGCAGCGGGCAAACATTCAATGCCAATTTTTGACATACCAACATATACAGACATACACAGAGGCTATTTAACTTTTTCTCTCCCCCAGCACCAACCAGCAACAGGCTGCGAGTCTCTCTCACCCCCAAAAAACGAGGGGATGCTCTGCTGTAGGCATTGTGTCTCCTCAGGGGAAGAAGTAAAGCTATGGCTGCCTTTTTACTCAGCACTGTAGGTCCCCCCCCCCCCCAATCACCAGGGGATGCTCTGCTTTAGATATTGTGTGTCCTCAGGGGGAAGAAGTAAAGCTATGGCTGCCTTTTTACTCAGCACTGTAGGTCCCCCCCCCAATCACCAGGGGATGCTCTGCTTTAGATATTGTGTGTCCTCAGGGGGAAGAAGTAAAGCTGTGGCTGCCTTTTTACTCAGCACTGGGGGTCTCTCTTCCCCAGCACCAACCAGCAAGAATCTGTGGGTCTCTCTCACCCCTCACAAACACCAGGGGATGCTCTGCTTTAGATATTGTGTGTCCTCAGGGGGAAGAAGTAAAGCTGTGGCTGCCTTTTTACTCAGCACTGGGGGTCTCTCTTCCCCAGCACCAACCAGCAAGAATCTGTGGGTCTCTCTCACCCCTCACAAACACCAGGGGATGCTCTGCTTTAGATATTGTGTGTCCTCAGGGGGAAGAAGTAAAGCTGTGGCTGCCTTTTTACTCAGCACTGGGGGTCTCTCTTCCCCAGCACCAACCAGCAAGAATCTGTGGGTCTCTCTCACCCCTCACAAACACCAGGGGATGCTCTGCTTTAGATATTGTGTGTCCTCAGGGGGAAGAAGTAAAGCTGTGGCTGCCTTTTTACTCAGCACTGGGGGTCTCTCTTCCCCAGCACCAACCAGCAAGAATCTGTGGGTCTCTCTCACCCCTCACAAACACCAGGGGATGCTCTGCTTTAGATATTGTGTGTCCTCAGGGGGAAGAAGTAAAGCTGTGGCTGCCTTTTTACTCAGCACTGGGGGTCTCTCTTCCCCAGCACCAACCAGCAAGAATCTGTGGGTCTCTCTCACCCCTCACAAACACCAGGGGATGCTCTGCTTTAGATATTGTGTGTCCTCAGGGGGAAGAAGTAAAGCTGTGGCTGCCTTTTTACTCAGCACTGGGGGTCTCTCTTCCCCAGCACCAACCAGCAAGAATCTGTGGGTCTCTCTCACCCCTCACAAACACCAGGGGATGCTCTGCTTTAGATATTGTGTGTCCTCAGGGGGAAGAAGTAAAGCTGTGGCTGCCTTTTTACTCAGCACTGGGGGTCTCTCTTCCTCAGCACCAACCAGCAAGAATCTGTGGGTCTCTCTCACCCCTCACAAACACCAGGGGATGCTCTGCTTTAGATATTGTGTGTCCTCAGGGGGAAGAAGTAAAGCTGTGGCTGCCTTTTTACTCAGCACTGGGGGTCTCTCTTCCTCAGCACCAACCAGCAAGAATCTGTGGGTCTCTCTCACCCCTCACAAACACCAGGGGATGCTCTGCTTTAGGTATTGTGTGCCCTCAGGGGAAAGATGTAAAGCTATGGCTGCCTTTTTACTCAGCACTGGGGGTCTCTCTTCCTCAGCACCAACCAGCAAGAATCTGTGGGTCTCTCTCACCCCTCACAAACACCAGGGGATGCTCTGCTTTAGGTATTGTGTGCCCTCAGGGGAAAGATGTAAAGCTATGGCTGCCTTTTTACTCAGCACTGGGGGTCTCTCTTCCCCAGCACCAACCAGCAAGAATCTGTGGGTCTCTCTCACCCCTCACAAACACCAGGGGATGCTCTGCTTTAGATATTGTGTGTCCTCAGGGGGAAGAAGTAAAGCTGTGGCTGCCTTTTTACTCAGCACTGGGGGTCTCTCTTCCCCAGCACCAACCAGCAAGAATCTGTGGGTCTCTCTCACCCCTCACAAACACCAGGGGATGCTCTGCTTTAGATATTGTGTGCCCTCAGGGGAAAGAAGTAAAGCTATGGCTGCCTTTTTACTCAGCACTGGGGGTCTCTCTTCCCCAGCACCAACCAGCAACAGGCCGTGGGTCTCTCTCACCCCTCACAAACACCAGGGGATGCTCTGCTTTAGATATTGTGTGCCCTCAGGGGGAAGAAGTAAAGCTGTGGCTGCCTTTTTACTCAGCACAGGGGGTCTCTCTTCCCCAGCACCAACTAGCAAGTCTGTGAGTCTCTTTCACCCCAAACAAGCACTAGGAGAGAGCGTAAAAGCTTCAGCAAGCAGTCCAGAGACATCATCCCATAAATGCAGATCGTTGCACCACACTTAAGACGTCCCCTAAAAATAGTGTGTCTTCTTGAGGAAAAAAAAAATAAGGCAGTGTCTTATTTTTGGGGAAACACGGTACATGCAACAAATGACTAATAAAAACATAAAGACCTTCCTTCCCTGGAGGTCTTTAAACCAAGGCTGCATGGCCATCTGTTGGGAGTGCTTTAATTGCGTATTTCCACATGACTGTAGGAAATTGGCCTGGATAATCCTTGTGATCTCTCCCAACTCGAGCATGCAATAGCCCAGGCTTTTGCTCTGACTTCCTCCTTCTCTCTTTTCATAACAGGAAGATCGTAGAGGTGAAGCCGACGATGCAGATGATTTGGAGCTCGTCCCTGAGCAAAAAGACCGCACAGAAGGAGGCAACAGAAAGGACAACTACTACTGACTCAGATACCAGCTTCTGCCAGGAGGCTAGAAATAAACTTCAGGTGGTGGACCTGGGCCAAGTCTGTTGCAGAACAGCCAGATTCTTAGCCTGAACGTTTCCAAAACGAATTACGACGATTGCCGCAAATATATCTGTTTGCTTATTTAACAAGTTCCAGGGTGATATAACGTCAAGCAGACTGGCTTCTGGAGTGTCAGGATGCTTCTTCCGAACGGGACTGATATTTGTAAAGTAAGTGAGATTTCCTCTTTGGACGACCTTCCACCTTTTCCAATTGTGGTTTGGACTTGCCTGATTTTTATTGTTCAGCCTTTGCATCTTTGTATTAAACGGAATCCTTTTGGTAAAGAGCTGCCTTTCACATCCTTACGAGAACGTTGCCAGTGTTTTGGGTGAGCAGAATAAGAAAGGAGGGTGAATAGCAAATACGAGGGGCGTTCATTTAAGATGGCCCCTGACCCACTTCTGTTTATCACAGGATGCTGAAATTGCACGTGTGTCATGATACAAGTCTCTATAGGTTACGTGCCAATTTACAACTCAGAACGGAGAACGGTCTTGATTTTACAGGTGCTGAAATGGTGTGAGGTTTGAGAATGGACCCAGCAGAATCCTCAAGTTCCTTTACTCGAAAGTCCACACATCAAAGGAGACGTTGGATGAGATGGAACATTTACGCAAGTGATCAGCCGCTGCCAGAAGGGACTGAGAGTGTCACCTATGCTGACGATCGTGCCATCACCACTCAAGCAGGGAGCTTTGAAATAGTTGAACAGAAACTCTCCGAAGCTTGCTCCATCAATGTTTAACATTTACACAAATGATCAGCTACTGCCAGAAGGGACAGAGTGTCACCTATGCTGACGATCGTGCCATCACCGCTCAAGCAGGGAGCTTTGAAATAGTTGAACAGAAACTCTCCGAAGCTTGCTCCATCAATGTTTAACATTTACACAAATGATCAGCTACTGCCAGAAGGGACAGAGTGTCACCTATGCTGACGATCGTGCCATCACTGCTCAAGCAGGGAGCTTTGAAATAGTTGAACAGAAACTCTCTGAAGCTTTAGGTACTCTTCCGGCCTATCTGTTTATCACAGAGTGTCACCTATGCTGACGATCACACCATCACCACTCAAGCAGGAAGCTTTGAAATGCTTGAAGAGAAGCTCTCCAAAGCTTGCTCCATTAACGTTTACACAAACAATCAGCCGCTGCCAGAAGGGACAGAGAGTTTCATCTATGCTGACGATTGTGCCATCACCACCCAAGCAGGGAGCTTTGAAATGGTTGAATAGAACCTCTCCAAAGCTTGCTCCATCAATATTTAACATTTACACAAATGAGCAACCACTGCCAGAAGGGACAGAGAGTGTCACCTATGCTGATGACCGTGCCATCACCGCTCAAGCAGGGAGCATTGAAATGGTTGAAGAGAAGCTCTCCGAAGCTTGCTCCATTAACGTTTACACAAACGATCAGCCACTGCCAGAAGGGACAGAGAGTTTCATCTATGCTGATGATCGTGCCATCACTGCTCAAGCAGGGAGCTTTGAAATAGTTGAACAGAAACTCTCTGAAGCTTTAGGTACTCTTCCGGCCTATTACAAGGAAAACCAGCTGATTCATAATCCATCTAAAACACAGACATGTGCTTTTCATCTTAAGAACAGGCAAGCATCTTGAGCTCCAAGGGTGACCTGGGAAGGAATCCCACTGGAGCATTGCAGCACACCAAAATACCTGGGAGCCACCTTGGACAGTTCTCCTATATTACATTATATGAATTATATTATAATATTGTAATATTTATTATATTATATTATTGGAATGTAGTAATTAATTTATATTAATTATAGTATAAAAGGTAAAGGTAAAGATTTCCCCTTGACATTAAGTCTAATCATGTCCAACTTTGGGAGGTGGTGCTAATCTCCATTTCTAAGCCGAAGTGCCGGCGTTGTCCGTAGACACCTCCAAGGTCATGTGGCTGGCATGACTGCGTGGAGCGCCGTTCCTTCCCGCTGGAGCGGTACCTATTGATCTACTCACATTTGCATGTTTTCGAACTGCTAGGTTGGCAGAAGCTGGGGCTGACAGTGGGAGCTCACGCCGCTCCCCAGATTCAAACCTGTGTCTTTTCGGACACATATACTGTAATATATTATTATAATCTATTATATCACTATATCATTTAAATTATTATATTATATTATATTATATTATATTTCAAGCCACTCACTCTATATTGGAACTTTCTATTAAGCTTTTTATTAAAATATATTTTATTATTATGTGTTTTATTGTGTTACATATTATATTATGATATATTATACTGTAATATATTATTATAATCTATTATATCAGTATATCATTTAAGGTATTATATTATTATTTTTTTCAAGCCACTCACTCTATATTGGACCTTTCTATTAAATTTTTATTAAATTAAATTATATTAAATTTTATATTATTATATCAAATATTATAATAATATTATACTATACTGTACTATATTATAGTATTAATATTATGTTATTTAAACCATTATATTATATTGTTTTCAATCCACTCACTCTATATTGGACCTTTCTATTAAACTTTTTATTAAATTAAATTATACTAAATTTTATATTATATTATTATATTAAATATTATAATAATATTATACTTTACTGTACTATATTCTAATAGTACAGTAATAATGATTTAAATAACATAATATTATAATATAGTACAATATAGTATAATACTGTATTATTATATTATAATTAATATAATAATATAGTACTATACTGTACTATATTATAATATTATGTTATTGAAATCATTTTTTTTCAAGCCACTCTACACTGAAACTTTCTATTCAGCTTTTTTATTAAATTAAACTATATTAAATTTTATATTATTATATTAAATATTATAATAAAATTATACTATACTGTACTATATTATAATATAATATAATGCTATTTAAATCATTATATTATATTTTTGAAGCCACTCACTCCATATTGGACTTTTTATTAAAATATAGTATATTTTAATACTATGAGTTATATTACATTTTATATTATGATATATTATGATATTATATATTATAATAAAGTATATTATATGATGATGAAGATAGACAGACAGATAGAGGGAAGATGACAGATACACAGATGGATAATGGGTAGATAGATCTATATATATAAATTTCCTCCTGGCGTCGTATGAGGAAACAAAACTCAAAAACCCCCCAACGAAACGCCACCAAACTTCCCATGCCCCAAGGGCAACCAACAAGGTACAAACTAATCCACTCAGAAATCAAAAACACACAACAACAACCACAATAAACGGCAAAGCAACTGAGCATGCGCACTGGCGCAAACTCCCTGGCGCGGACACACATGGCCCCTCACCCTCCCCCCCGGCGCGGCACACACACGCGCGCGCGCACGGCCCCTCCCCCCGGCGCGGCACACACACACACGCGTGCCCCCTCTCCCACCCGGCGCGGCACACACGCGCGCGCACCCCCAACCCCCCCGGCGCGGCACACACGCGCGCGCACGCGCCCCCTCTCCCCCCTCCGGCGCGGCACACACACACATCACGCGCGCACGCGCCCCCTCTCCCCCCTCCGGCGCGGCACACACACACATGCACACACACGCGCGCACGCGCCCCCTCTCCCCCCTCCGGCGCGGCACACACACACATGCACACACACGCGCGCACGCGCCCCCTCACCCCCCCGGCGCGGCACACACGCACACGCGCGTGCCCCCTCACCCCCCGGCGCGGCACACGCACGCACGCGCGCCCGCGCGCCCCCTCACTCCCCTGGCGCGGCACACACGCGCGCGTGTGCGCCCCCTCTCCCCCCCGCGCGGCACACACGCGCGCGCGCGCCCCCATCCCCCCTCCCCTCCTCACGTTACCTCCAAGCCACGCCCCCTTCTAAACCCATCCCCCCTCCCCTCCCCCTCCTCACGTTACCTCCAAGCCACGCCCCCTTCTAAACCCATCCCCCCCCCCCTCCTCCTCACGTTACCCCCAAGCCACGCCCCTTCTAAACCCCTCCCCCCTCCCCCCTCACGTTACCTCCAAGCCACGCCCCCTTCTAAACCCACCCCCCTCCCCTCCTCACCTTACCCCCAAGCCACGCCCCCTTCTAAACCCATCCCCCCTCCCCTCCTCCCTCCTCACGTTACCTCCAAGCCACGCCCCCTTCTAAACCCATCCCCCCTCCCCTCCTCCCTCTACCCTCCTCACGTTACCTCCAAGCCACGCCCCCTTCTAATCTGTCAAGGAAGAATCATAGAATCATAGAATCAAAGAGTTGGAAGAGACCTCATGGGCCATCCAGTCCAACCCCATTCTGCCAAGAAGCAGGAATATTGCATTCAAATCACCCCTGACAGGAGAGAAAGAGGGAGGGAAAGAAAGAAGGAAGGAAGGAATGAGGTAGAAAAGGAAGAAAGGAGAGAAAGAGGGAGGGAAAGAAAAAGGGGGAGGAAGGAAAGTTAGAGAAAGAAGGAAGGAGAGAAGGAAAGAAAAAGGGACAGAAGGAAGGAAAGAAGGAGCGAAGGAAGGGGGGAAGATGTAGAGAAAGAGGGAGGGAAGGAAAGATGGAAAGAGAGAAGGAAGAAAAGAGAGACTGCAGAAGAGATAAAGGAAGAAGGAAGGAAAGAGGGAGCGAAGGAAGGGGATAAAATGTAGAGAAAGAGGGAGGGAAAGAAAGGAGGAAAGAGAGAAGGAAGAAAAGAGACACAGCAGAAGAGAAAGAAAAAGGGGGAAGGAAGGAAAGCGATAGAGAAGGAAGGAAGGAGAGAAGGAAAGACGGGAAGGAAGGAAGGAAACAGGGAGTGAAGGAAGGAGGGAAAGAAGGGGAGATAGGGGGAAGGTTGGCCACAGCAACGCGTGGCGGGTACAGCTAGTTACCTATATAAATAAAAATGTAATGTTTGTTTGTGGGATTAACATAACTCAAAAACTACTGAATTAATTGACACCAAATTTGGACACTACACCCTTAACAGACCAACAAGTGACCATCACTCATAACCCACCCACCCCAAAAAGCAGAAAGGATTTTTTAAAACCCCAAAACGCTAAATGACAATCCAGATGCAGATGCCCGGCTTACTAACCATGGAGCCCTTGCTCTGCAGAGAGCAGGGACACACCTCTCTCAAGCGCTGCCTTCGAGCCCAACTCTTTGCTGGCCTATGTCTAGAGGAAAGGAATGAAGGAGGGAAAGAGGGAAGGAAAGAGAAAAGGAGGGAAGAAAAGAGGGAAAGAAGGAAGGATGGAGGGAGGGAAGGAAGGAAAGAGGTAGGAAAGGATGGAAGGAGAGAAGGAGAGAAGAAGCAGGGGAAAAGAGGGAAAAGAAGGAAGGAGGGAAGGAAGGAAGGAAGGAAGAGAAGGAAGGAAGGAGAGAAGGGGAAGGGAAAGTGGGAAAGAAAAAAGGAGGGAAGGAAGGAAGGAAAGGAGAGAAGGAAGAAGGAGAGAGGAGGAAGGAAAGGGGAAGAAGAAAGGAGGAAGGAAGGAAGGAAGGAAAGAAAGAGGTAGGGAAGAAGAAAGGAGAGAAGGAAGGAAGGAAGGAAAGAAAGAGGTAGGGAAAGAAGGAAGGAGAGAAGGAAGGAAGGAAGGAAGGAAGGAAAGAAAGAAAGAGGGAAGAAGGAAGGAGAGAAGGAAGGAAGGAAGGAAGGAAGGAAGGAAGGAAGGAAGGAAGGAAGGAGAGAATGAGGGAGGGGAAAGAGGGAAAGAAGGAAGGAGGGAAGGAAGGAAGGAGAGAAGGAGGAGGGAAAGAAGGAAAGAGGTAGAGAAGGAAGGAGAGAAAGTAGGAAAGAAGGAAGGAAGGAGAGAAGGAGGGAGGGAAAGAAGGAAAGAGGTAGAGAAGGAAGGAAGGAGAGAAAGTAGGAAAGAAGGAAGGAGGGAAGGAGAGAATGAGTGAGGGGAAAGAAGGAAGGAGGGAGGGAGGGAGGAAGGAAGGAAGGAAGGAAGGAAGGAAGGAAGGAAGGAGAGAAAGTAGGAAAGAAGGAAGGAGGGAAGGAGAGAATGAGTGAGGGGAAAGAAGGAAGGAGGGAAGGAAGGAAGGAAGGAAGGAAGGAAGGAAGGAGAGAAAGTAGGAAAAAAGGAAGGAGGGAAGGAGGGAAGGAAAGGAGGAAAAAGAAGGAAGGCAGGAAGGAAGGAAGGAAGGAAGGAAGGAAGGAAGGAAGGATGGAAGGAGGAAAGGAAGGAAGGAAGAAGGAAGGAGAGAAGAGAGGGAAAGAAGGAAGGAGGAGGGAGGGAGGAGGGAAGAGGAGGAAGGAAGGAAGGAAGGAAGGAAGGAGAGAAAGTAGGAAAGAAGGAAGGAGGGAAGGAGGGAAGGAGAGAATGAGTGAGGGGAAAGAAGGAAGGAAGGAAGGAAGGAAGGAAGGAAGGAAGGAAGGAAGGAAGGAGAGAAAGTAGGAAAGAAGGAAGGAGGGAAGGAGAGAATGAGTGAGGGGAAAGAAGGAAGGAGGGAAGGAAGGAAGGAAGGAAGGAAGGAGAGAAAGTAGGAAAGAAGGAAGGAGGGAAGGAGGGAAGGAGAGAATGAGTGAGGGGAAAGAAGGAAGGAAGGAAGGAAGGAAGGAAGGAGAGAAAGTAGGAAAGAAGGAAGGAGGGAAGGAGAGAATGAGTGAGGGGAAAGAAGGAAGGAGGGAAGGAAGGAAGAAGGAAGGAAGGAAGGAAGGAGAGAAAGTAGGAAAGAAGGAAGGAGGGAAGGAGAGAATGAGTGAGGGGAAAGAAGGAAGGAGGGAAGGAAGGAAGGAAGGAAGGAGAGAAAGTAGGAAAAAAGGAAGGAGGGAAGGAGAGGAAGGAAGGAAGGAAGGAAGGAAGGAAGGAGAGAAAGTAGGAAAGAAGGAAGGAGGGAAGGAGAGAATGAGTGAGGGGAAAGAAGGAAGGAGGGAAGGAAGGAAAGAGAGAGAAGGAAGGAAGGAGAGAAAGAAGAAGGGAAAGACGAAGGGGAGAAGGAAGGAGAGAAAGAGGGAGGGAAGTTTGGCCACAGCAACACATGGCGGGTACAGCTAGTTTATACATCTACCCTTTAGGAATTGGCTGTTGGGAATTGTGGGAGTTGAAGCCCAAGACACCTGGAGGGCTGACATCTCCTCTACATACCGGGCCCGAGGGAGGGAGGGAGGGAGGGAGGCCGGTCCCTTCCTCTCGCCATGCCGCCCTGGGGGCTCCTCCTCCTGCTGCTCCTGCTAGGCGAGTCCGGGGCTCCTCCGGCCTGGTCCCCTCCTTCCTCCTCCTCCTCCTCCTCGGCGGCGTCTCCCTGGTGCCCCTTCTTCTTCCCGGGCGAGGCGGCTGAGGGCGGGCTGTGCTTCCGGAGGGCGGCGCGGGGCTTCGAGTGCCGTCCGGGCAGCTGCCGGGCGCAACTCTTCTCCCCGGGCGGGAACCTGAGCGCCAGCGTGCTGGGCAACGGGAGCGTGCTGCTCCAGTGGGCCTGGCCGCCTCCGGCCTCTCCTCCGCGGGGCTTCCGCCTCTCCTGCTCGTGGGAAGGGCCCCAGGCCGCGCCAGGCCTCCCTTGCCGCTCCGTCCGCCTCGGCGCCGCCTGCCGCGACTACCTGCTCCCCGAGGCCCACGCCGGGATCCGGTACCGCCTCTGCCTCGCGGCCCTCTCCCTGCCGCCTCGGGAGGAGAAAGAAGAAGGCCGCGAGGGCCTCTCCCTGCCGCCGCCTCGGGAGGAGGAAGCCGAAGAAGAAGGCGAGTGCGTGGAGTTCGAGGGCCAGCCCGCGGGGCCCCGCGACATCGTGGTGGCCATGGCCGCCGTGGGGGGCGCCATCTGCGTCATGCTGGTCCTCATCTGCCTCCTCGTGGCCTACCTCACCGAGAACGCGCCCCCCGCCCGGGCCGGGCCTACACCGCCCCCACAAGCCTGACCTGGGGTTGCCATGGCGACGGGGCACTGCGCCATCTTGGAAGAGGACACCCCACAGGGACAGGAGGAAGGCGGCTCCCCTGAGGGAATGGCCCTTACAAGATGGCGCCCTGAGGGAAGGACTCGTGCTAGATGGCGCCCTGAGGGAATGCCTTTTACAAGATGGAGTCCTGAGGGAGTGGCTCTTACAAGATGGCGCCCTGAGGGAATGGCTTGTACAAGATGGCAGCCTGAGGGAATGGCTCTTGCAAGATGGTGGCCTGAGGGATTGACTTTTACAAGATGGCGGCCTGAGGGATTGACTTTTACAAGATGGTGGCCTGAGGGAGTGGCTCTTACAAGATGGCACCCTGAGGGAATGGTTTTACAAGATGGCACCCTGAGGGAATGGCTTTTACAGGATGGCACCCTGAGGGAATGGCTTTTACAAGATGGCGCCCTGAGGGAATGCTTCTTACAAGATGGCAGCCTGAGGGATTGACTTTTACAAGATGGTGGCCTGAGGGAATGGCACCCTGAGGGAATGGCTTTTGCAAGATGGCAGCCTGAGGAATGGCACCCTGCAAGATGGCAGCCTGAGGGAATGGCTTTTACAAGATGGCGCCTTGAGGGAATGACTCATACAAAATTGAGCCCTGAGGGAATGACTTGTGCAAGATGGCGCCCTGAGGGAAGGACTCATGCAAGATGGCGCCCTGAGGGAATGGCTTTTACAAGATGGCGCCCCGAGGAGATGATGCTTCCAAGATGGCACCCTGAGGGAATGGCTTGTGCAGGATGGCGCCCTGAGGGAATGGCTTTTACAAGATGGCAGCCTGAGGAATGGCACCCTGCAAGATGGCAGCCTGAGGGAATGGCTTTTACAAGATGGCGCCTTGAGGGAATGACTCATACAAAATTGAGCCCTGAGGGAATGACTTGTGCAAGATGGCGCCCTGAGGGAAGGACTCATGCAAGATGGCGCCCTGAGGGAATGGCTTTTACAAGATGGCGCCCCGAGGAGATGATGCTTCCAAGATGGCACCCTGAGGGAATGGCTTGTGCAGGATGGCGCCCTGAGGGAAGGACTCATGCAAGATGGTGGCCTGAGGGAATGGCACCCTGAGGAAAGGGCTTTTACAAGATGGCAGCCTGAGGGAATGGCTTTTACAAGATGGCAGCCTGAGGGAATGGCCCTTACAAGATGGCAGCCTGAGGGAATGACTCATACAAGATGGCACCCTGAGGGAAGGACTCTTACAAGATGGCGCCCTGAGGGGATGGCTCGTGCAAGATGACGGCCTGAGGGAATAGCACCCTGAGGGAATGGCTCTTACAAGATGGCACCCTGAGGGAATAGCTCTTACAAAATGGCACCCCATGGGAAGGACTCGTGCAAGATGGCAGCCTGAGGGAATGGCTTTTACAAGATGGCAGCCTGAGGGAATGGCTCTTACAAGATGGCAGCCTGAGGGAATGGCTTTTACAAGATGGAGCCCTGAGGGAATGGCTCTTGCAAGATGGCAGCCTGAGGCAATGGCCTTACAAGATGGCGCCCTGAGGGAAGGACTTTTACAAGGTGGCACCCTGAGGGAATGGCCCTTGCAAGATGGCAGCCTGAGGGAATGACTTACAGGATGGAGCCCTGAGGGAATGGCTCTTACAAGATGGAGCCCTGAGGAAATGGCACCCTGAGGGAATGACTTTTAGAAGATGGAGCCCTGAGGGAATGGCTCCATGAGGGAATGGCTCTTACAAGGTGGCACCCTGAGGGAATGGCATTTACAAGATGGTGCCCTGAGAGAATGGCTTTTATAAGACAGCGGCCTGAGGAGATGGCAACCTGAGGGAATGGCTTTTACAAGATTGCAAGCAAACAATGCACAAGTATCTCAAATGACAAAGAACAAAAATGTATGTATGTAAATCTTAGCAGACTCTCAAGACAGTAATATACAACAGTATTCTATGTTCTCTATTGGCATAACTTGTCTGAGACTTTATAGCATTAAATAAATATGTTATCAGCACATTAACATAGAGAAATCAACAACAGACTAAAGGTAATAGAGTCCATCCTTTCAGTGAAGAAATTCCAGAGTCTCTATCTTTATCTTCAAAAAAATTCTTCTTTTGATAAGACAGTCTCAAGGAATTCTTCTTGGGCAACAAGGTCTTTCATAAGCAACAAAATCTCAACAAGGTCTTCCGGTATGTTTATCCTTGTTTCGAACAATATCTTCCTCAGGGTGTAGTCTGTATCTTATTATGCTTAGTGCACTAAATAAGGAGTAGAAATAACATACAACATAGATACATGAAACTCCCCAAAATAACATTGATTAGAAAAACATTTTGTAATAACAGTAAAGATACACGCTACCCTACTTACATTCTCTTCAGTAATACAGGTTCTGTACTACAGGCTCTGTTGTAGTAGGAGTTCTGTAACGAGCAGTGAGTCATAGCTGGGCTGTCTCTTAAGTAGAATTACATCTCACAAGAAACAAGTGTATTCAATTTTATCATTTAGTCCTAGAGGAACCAGTGTTTGTAGTTTGAAGATCCAAAAAGATTCCCTTTGCAGAAGGAGTTTTTTTGTATCTGCATTAGGTCTGGGTAATATTTTTTCCAAAGCGCAAAATTTAAAGCTATGGTGTGTATGTGCTTTTTCATTAAAATGTACATATAATGAAGAGTCAGTGGACCCATTCCTAATGCGTGAACGATGTTCATTTATCCTAATTTTAAGGGGTCTAGTAGTTATTCCAACATGCCAGCAATCACTTAAGAGTAAAATATACTCTCATCCAACACTCAATATTAATGTCACATTACGACATTTGACAACATGTTCCAGTGATAATGTAGTGTACCTGTTAGAATGCCCCTGCAAATTACTATATGTTGGAATAACTACTAGACCCCTTAAAATTAGGATAAATGAACATCGTTCACGCATTAGGAATGGGTCCACTGACTCTTCATTATATGTACATTTTAATGAAAAAGCACATACACACCATAGCTTTAAATTTTGCGCTTTGGAAAAAATATTACCCAGACCTAATGCAGATACAAAAAAACTCCTTCTGCAAAGGGAATCTTTTTGGATCTTCAAACTACAAACACTGGTTCCTCTAGGACTAAATGATAAAATTGAATACACTTGTTTCTTGTGAGATGTAATTCTACTTAAGAGACAGCCCAGCTATGACTCACTGCTCGTTACAGAACTCCTACTACAACAGAGCCTGTAGTACAGAACCTGTATTACTGAAGAGAATGTAAGTAGAGTAGCGTGTATCTTTACTGTTATTACAAAATGTTTTTCTAATCAATGTTATTTTGGGGAGTTTCATGTATCTATGTTGTATGTTATTTCTACTCCTTATTTAGTGCACTAAGCATAATAAGATACAGACTACACCCTGAGGAAGATATTGTTCGAAACAAGGATAAACATACCGGAAGACCTTGTTGAGATTTTGTTGCCTATGAAAGACCTTGTTGCCCAAGAAGAATTCCTTGAGACTGTCTTGCCAAAAGAAGAATTTTTTTTGAAGATAAAGATAGAGACTCTGGAATTTCTTCACTGAAAGGATGGACTCTATTACCTTTAGTCTGTTGTTGATTTCTCTATGTTAATGTGCTGATAACATATTTATTTAATGCTATAAAGTCTCAGACAAGTTATGCCAATAGAGAACATAGAATACTGTTGTATATTACTGTCTTGAGAGTCTGCTAAGATTTACATACATACATTTTTGTTCTTTGTCATTTACAAGATTGCACCCTGAGGGGATGATGCTTCCAAGATGCCACCCAGAGGGAATGGCTCTTACAAGATGGCACCCTGAGGGAATGGCACCCTGAGGGAAAGGCTCTTACAAGATGGCGCCCTAAGGGAATGGCTCTTACAAGATGGCGCATTGAGGGAGTGACTCTTACAAGATGGCAGCATGAGGGAATGACTTTTGCAAGATGGAGCCCTGAGGGAATGACTCATACAAGATGGCAGCCTGAGGGAATGGCTTTTACAAGGCGGCACCCTGAGGGAATGGCTCTTACAAGATGGCAGCCTGAGGGAATGACTTTTGCAAGATGGAGCCCTGAGGGAATGGCACACTGAGGAAATGGCTCCTACGAGATGGCACCCTGAGGGAATGGCTTTTACAAGATGGCGCCCTGAGGGAATGGCTTTTACAAGATGGCAACCTGAGGGAATGGCTCTTACAAGATGGTGCCCTGAGGGGATGGCTTTTACAAGATGGCACCCTGAAGCAATTTTCCTGCTTCTTGGTAGGGGGTAGGACTGGATGGCCCACAATCCAACTATGAGGAAATGGCTCAAAATGGCGCCGTGAGAGAATGGCTTTTACAACATGGCGGCCTGAGGGAATGGCTCTTCCAAGATGGCGCCCTGAGGGAATAGCTCTTCAATGATGGTGGCCTTTTACAAGATGGCATCCTGAAAAAATGATCTTTCAAAAATGGTGCCCTGAGGGAATGGCTCTTCTGTGATGGTAGCCTTTTCAAGATGATGCCCTGATGGAATGATGGTTCCAAGGTGGCGCCCCGAGGAATGGCTCTTACAGGATGGTGCCCTAAAGAGAAGAGGTCTTCCATGATGGTGGCCTTTTACAAGATGGTGCCCTGACAGAATGATGCTTGGAAGATGGTGCCCTGAGAGAATTGCTCTTACAAGATGGTGCCCTGAAGGGAAGAGCTCTTCCATGATGGTGGCCTTTTCAAGATGGCACCCTGATGGAATGACGCTTGCAAGATGGTGCTCTGAAGGGAAGAGCTCTTCCATGGTGGTGGCATTTTACAAGATGATGCCCTGGCAGAATGATGCTTCGAAGATGGCACCCTGAGGAAATGGCTCTTACAAGATAGCACCCTGAGATAACGACTTCCAAGATGGCGTCCTGAGGAAATAGCTTTCCCAAGATGGCGCCCTGAAGGGAAAAGCTCTTCCAAGATGGTGCCCTGAGGTGGCTTTTACAAGATGGCGGCCTGAGGGGATGGTTCTTATAAGATGGCGCCCAGAGGGAATGGCTTTTACGAGATGGCCTGAGGGACCATGGTGCCCTTGGCTCTTACAAGATGACACCCTGAGGGAATAACGCTTCCAAGAGGGCACCCTGAGGGAATGATGCTTCCAAGATGGCACCTTGAGTGAACAGCGCTATTAAGATGGTGCCCAGGGGAATGGCTTTTCCAAGATGGCACTCTGAAGGGAAGAGCTCTTCCAAGATGGTGGCCTCAGGGAATGACCATTTCCAAGATGGCATCCTGAAGGAAAGGCCTCTTCCATGATGGTGCCCTGAGGGAATGGCTCTTACAAAATGGCGCCCTGAGAGAATGACACTTTCAAGATGGCAGTCTGAGGGAATGGCTTTTACCAGATGGTGCTCTGAAGAGAATAGTTCTTCCAAGGTGGTGCCCTGAGGGAATGACACTTTCAAAATGGCACTGAGGGGAATGGCTTTTAGAAGATGGTGCCCTGAGGGAATGGCTCTTACAAGATGGTGCCCTGAGGGAATAGCTCTTACAAGATGGCGCACTGAGGGAGTGGCTCTTCCAAGATGGCGTCTTGACAAGAAGGCCTCTTCCAAGATGGCACCCTGAGAGAATGACACTTTCAAGATGGCACTCTTTGGGAATGGCTTTTACAAGATGGTGCTCTGAGGGAATTACTCTTAACAGATGGCGCATTGAGAGAGTGACTCTTCCAAGATGGCATCTTGACGAGAAGGTCTCTTCCAAGATGGCACCCTGAGAGAATGACACTTTCAAGATGGCACTCTGAGGGAATGGCTCTT